TCCCTGCAGAACTCGAAGACGGAGATTTAGTTAGTCGGGCAGGTTGGAGGCGAGCATTGCGTCTGGCTGACCACTTTTGGCGGAGATGGCTGGCGGAGTACCTGCCAACACTAGCTCCTAGGAGGAATCATAGGCACACTTCGAACATAGCTATTGGTGATCTAGTGTTGGTAGTCGACGGAAACTTGCCGCGTGGATCGTGGCCTCGAGGAAGAGTGTGTGCTGTACACCCAGGCCGAGACGGGGTAATCCGTGTGGCGGATGTATGTACCTCCGCTGGCATTTTGAGACGACCTACCCGAAAATTGGTCCTAATTTTAAAATAAAAAAAGGGACAAATGTGCTGAAGCACAAACTTTTTGATATTATTTATGTTTTTATAGTTTTTTATATTTTGTTTTACTTTTGATAGAAGTCATTGTTTTTCTGTATGTCTTGTCAAATATACCGATTCTCCACGGAACCAGCAGCCTTTAATTTCGTTCACAAAAATCAATGGTAACTGAGGTGTTTGTTATTATTAATAATAATAATATTTCTTTCTTTTTCTCCATAAAATTTCTTAATACAAAAAGGTGCAATGTATACATTGTAATATTATTGTGTGATATATTGAAAGAACTATGTCGAATAATTACGCTTAAATTTATCAGAATTAGGACCTAGACCTAGACTTTAAACTATATAGTTCGTTAAAATGTGACTATGTATCAATAAAATCATACGTTGCAAAAGGGGAAAAAATTAAAAGATTTCTTTTTTAACAAGCCTTTTTTGGTGTATTGTATTCTACAGGTTTGAACCTATTCATTTGATGCCCATATCGATTAGGTTGTTCAGAAAAATGTACCATTTTGTTAGGCCTGCCGTTTTTAATTAATAATAATATCGATTTTTTAGAATTGCGTTGTCATTAGACCTAAAGGAAAGTGAAATTTCATCAGCCAAAATATCATAAAGATAAACATTGTGACAGGTGAATGTTCTGTGGGTGAAACTAAATAAAAACTTATGAGATTTTGCTAGACGTCTGGCAGGGCGGTTAAGCTATCATGACATTTTTTGTGTTCTCTAGCTGTACTGATTATAATGGGAAATAACACTAAGCAAGATTCTTAGTGTGATCATTTATATATTAACATTATATCCAAAAACTTTGTTTCAGCAATTTGATGATAACTTCTTATTCCACCAGCTTTGTAGAGATATTCGCTTATATTAGATTTTCCAGATAAAACTATATCAACATAAGTAATTCGTCAATATGATCACCATCACCAGCTTATTAATGTCTCCCTGCTGAGGCACGCGTCTTCCCTGTGGTTGGAATCGACCCGAATAGGGAGAATGGGAAACCATGCGTCCCAGTGCGTATTTGCAAAAGATCGAATACCGAATACGCTAACCACTGCGCTATATATAGCATATTGTAATTATCAATTCAAATTCAAAAGAATTTTAATTAAATAAAAAAATATATAGTACATAAATATTTACATTAAAAGCTCTTTTATTTTTAAACTAAATCCATATGAGTCGAAAATTCCACAATATCCTTGTTTATATTACTTTAAAATACAAACATACAAACATAAATCTTTTCGCACCATAGATAAGTGGTTATCTTTTCTATATATACAAATCATAACGTAATATTTGTTCGTTGCGTTTCTGAGAAATGTATGAACAGCAAACATTGTGCAATGAAGAATAGTCAGTACGGTATGTTATTTTAAAATAAAGGTAATGTATTGGCAGCCAATTATTTAAATAGCATTTTATTGCATGAACGTCATTTAACCACACGCCAAGTTATTCTCGTCATTTTTTGACTTTTAAAGTATTCAACCACACCTCACTTAAAAGACGCCTAAACATTTAAGAACTATTTTTCTACGCCATAATAGGTTCTTTGTGCTTATTACAACATCAACAGCTCATGTTTAGTACTTCGGAGATGTGTTTATAATTGCGAAAAAAAACAAATTTATTATCAAATTATTTGTAAGTAAATATTTTCTACCTATTCGATTCTATTTCATCTTACCCCCACGGTGGATTAATAAGAACTCATTATTATCTTAATTAAAAGTTAAAATTTATACTTTATTTACTGCTTTAGATTATATCAACATCAATGACGAAAGTATGAATGAATATATACTATATTACAAAGCAAAAGGTTAACATAATAATACACTAGGGTGGGAGATGCACAGTTGCATATCTGTGCATTACAGGGGGCATTATGGCGTGTTAGCGCACTTGTCGGGCACTGCACGCCCCTCGTCCTATCTGGGGGTTAGACTCATATGTTCTCGAGACAACCCATGAGATACCCACGCTGTAAAAGCTAGGCCGAAATACGGGCGAAATGCACGGGAGATGATCCTCCGCGGGACCCGCACCGTGCTTTACTCGTGTAGAGAGGGACATCGCTAAGATTTAGTGGATATGCCCCTGCTATTTGACTAGCCCCTATTCTGGGGTCGGGTCTGGAATGGAGATTACCACATAACTTGTGGACCTCGCGCAGGGGTAAGATAAAAAATATTAGGTTAGATTTACGATTTTATTCCTTGACACTATTTTACATTTTACTAAAAGATAAACGACATTAATCTACTCACTTCTTCGCAACTATGTACAGTAAGTGTCTCCGGGATCCGTACTTAATGACGACACGTCAACAAACAGACATATTGTATGACAATGAACTCGATACAACGCAGTCTGTATACAGCAGCAGAGACAGAGATAAAATATCGCATCAGTCCTTTAGTTTAAGATCAAGTTACATTTTACATTTCAAAAATATGTTTGTTTTAATAAAGTCTTTTGTTTACTTATCTTGTATTCGGTTACGATTTACTATTTAGCACATTTAAAATAAATCAGTTCAGTGGTTTCATAGAAAATCTATGAAACCGCTAAGACCGACAGACAAATGGCTGATCCTATAAGGACTGTGTTTTTTTCCTTATGACATGCGAATTCCTAAAACGAAATTACGAAAATGTATATTTGTATGTAAAAATTTCAAAAACAATTATCTTAAAATCAATCTTTTTTGTTTAAAAAGGACTTTAAGCTTGAAAAATTAGACGATTTTTTTTAAATTCGAAACAGTATAAAATACATTGCTCTATATCGCTTAGAACTTTATTAGTAACTTTCTGAAATCTAGTGACATGCAACGTCAATTTAATAGTAAGAGGATCAGAAGAATAGAGTTCTCTATAATGAGTATCTAATTGTAGGTGTATAACAGTGCGCCGTACCATCGTTTATTTTTCCTAGGTTTCAGCATGCAAACTTTTGGTCTATTATATTCAACATCATTTCTTTTAATTATTCATATTTCGTAATTTCAAATTTTGACTAATCAAAAGTGGCCTTTTATGAATGTGAGTTCTTAAAAAAATTCCTCTGTTCTTGTAAATCATATAAATTTAAATATAAAATATTATAACAATTAAGTTATAATGATTAAAATAGAAATTATATATTATTTAAAATAAAATTATATCTTGAAATATCATTCAAGTTTACGTATCACGGCAAACCCAAAAAGGTTTTTTTTCTTCTTTTACATATTTATCATAAAATAGGTAAATCAATTCTCAAGCTTAGTCAACCTTTCATTAATTCGCCCGAGCATCGAACCCGCCACAAAGCTAAGTGATGATTAATAGCTAGTGATAATTATAACTCTATCTGTATTCTAGAGACAAATAAATAAACGTTATTGCTATATATAGATTTTAGATAACTTTGACCGCTTTAGGGCATATTTAAGTGTCCTGGAGAATCCCATTTATTCACTCACGCAGACTTATTCAGTGGGAGGTAATATCAAAGATTAAATAACTGTAGAGGATTGATATCAACTGTAGACAAGTGATAATTTGAATGTTTTATGACGGGCTTGTTCTCGAACTCGAGACACCCAGTGCCTCTTTTGCATGAAAAGGAGTTTGCTTCTGTTGTCAGTTCCCGAATATTGCTGCAGGCTACCATTAATGTCCGTGACCTGCATGCCACGTAATTCGATGGATTTAGATTTGGGCACCGAATTCAATCAAAATACACTTTAATAGATACGTTTTGAAAACCACTCGAGCCTATTAAGTATGTTAACGATTGCAGCTGAAACTAACGTTACTCTTATTTGCTAGAACGAGTGCTTAGTGTAAATACATAAAACTTACACTTACCACTCAGATCAAGTATTATAATATACTAGGTGGCACCTATTCTAATTTCCTAACCAATTTCCGACCATACACTATTTTTTTTCATTAGAAATCAAAATTGTCATACTCGTCTAATATTCTTCACTGTTCCAAATTTTTTCACTTAAACATACTGTAATATGATTCATTGGTAGATAACTGACTAGTATGTAGAGTAATAGGAGTTTGAAATGTTGCTTAATGAACTAAATTATTTAAGTCCTATTGATTTGTAATGATATCTAGTCTGACTAAAAACTGCCAGAAACTACTAATTCAAGGAAGACTAAGGAGAACCGGTATTTGGGTCAAGTATTAACAAACACTAGAGCAACCGCTTCGTGCCTTCCGAAGCACATAAGATATCAAGATAATCCATTTTCTCTCACCCATCCTAATACCGGTCCTTGCGAAAGTTGTATGTATAACTTGTGAATAAGTGAGTATGCAATAAATGTTAATAGCTACAATATTATAGTTATTTAATTCTCTAACAATTTTTTTCTTAAAACGTATTCCTTTTGTTTGTCATGGTGTTATATAACCTTAATATTTTATAATGTTTTTAATTTGCTTTAGGTATATTTGATTAATTTTGCATTGATAATGCTATATTGACGTTGCCATCTCGGGCACTTGGAACTGATGATTTCTTAATCGTTTCTCTTTACTTTCGGTTTTCATATAATTAAAATGAGTTAAGTAACCTTTCTGCTTGTTGATCTTTGATAAAACGCAGACCGCTGCGCTCCGAAGGCGACCGAAATAGACGGAGTTGGGCACGCGGTCGTCTCGCACTCCTGCGCACTACCAAGGATCCATGGATTATTCTTAATTTAAAATCCTTCCTTGTCTCTCTCAAGTCGGTAGCCGTAGAGTGAAATGGTGTTATAAGTTATTCGAGTTATTGTGTTTAGATTTTTTAGCGATGTGGAACTGTGTTTGGTGTTTGGTTTTGGTGTCTTTACCGGCATGGGTGTATGGTAAGCTTAGAAAAGTTAGAATGACTTAGGTGTAACTTAGAAACAGCCATGTATATTTATTCATTTATGGCTGTAATTACTATGCTCTTAATGCACTATTCTCTATACTGGCGTGTTGTGAAAATGGTATTGTAATTGTTGAATGAACTTAATTATCAAATAAACTATAAACGAATAAGGTAACCGATAAGATTTGTATTATCACACAATTTTAGTCAAGTCGATTTTTTAATATTGTAAAGCTTTTCGAAATTAAGCAAGTATTTTATTGTTAGTCTATAAGATAAAAGTAGTGACATATTAAAATATTACTTTTATTAACACCAGTGATCGGTATGCATGCAGCGTCGTTATCTTTAAGGGTCTAGGGTTCGACTTCCGCACATATAAATTTAGAAAACTAGTTTTTCTTTCTAGATTATTAGTAGAATTCCGTATCTCTAAAGGTAAAAAACGTAACTATGATCCTAATGTTTTTGAGGATGTATGCATATTTTGTTACTCTTTCACACCAAAAATTACTGAACGAATTTTGATAAATGTTGGTATTCGGATAATTATTTTTGAGCCAGTGCACAAACGTTCATTAAAATTATCATTAGTTAAAAGCGACATTACCGATATAAATTTGGCGTTCACTTCAATGAATGTTTTTGCAACTGACCATTTGTCCCACTAAATAGTTCCCTAGGGAGTACGGACCAAGCAGGCGAAGCCGCTGGCTGAAACCTTGTGAATTACCTACATTGTATTTTCTATAATTCAACTCGTTTTTCTAGGTAAATGAGAAAGTTCTGGAAATCCAAGTATATTGTATGATGTACGCAATAAAAAGCGCTACAATGAGACTTCTATATTTTTTCCAATTTGGAGATGAATAAGGAGTTATAAATTCACCAAAGAAAATATACGAAAGTTGACTATTTCCCTGACCACTTAGCCTGAAATTTGAAAAAATTATACGCCCCTAGACCCTTTGATACGCATTTATTCTATCCATTCAGAATCATCCATTCAGAAGCTCTGGTGCCCCACCAGTGAGGACTTTAGTAGACTGATAATTATGATGATGATCGTTGGAAAACCAAGCTCTAAAATTCATGTCCTGTGTCGAATGAGTTTAATTGTCCGTATAGGTGTCTAAAACACAATTCAGAATATTCATAAAGCGAGTCTAAAGACCACCATAAAATTAATAATATATGATAAGGCAAGATACTTTTTTGATACGAGTTCAAATATGTGATTTACCTCATACTTTTGCGTATAGATTATATTATCTATTCTCCTATATACAGTAGTTATGTAATAAAATAATTTTAAATAAGATAGTCTCTAATAATTATCTTAAAACAATGTTTAAATAATTCAGCTGTCTCGAGCGCTTGAGATAACATGTAAATTTGTAATAATTCACTAAGCGACGATAGGTCTACCGACCGAAAAAATTGAAGCACAATGTCAAAAGAACTAAAAGTAGCGAGGAAAATTTCACAGTTTTATTTTAATAGAAAATATATATAGTATAGGTGATATATAGAGAAAATTGTTAAAATATTTCTTCATTCTATTTAGGTACAGTACGTTACATAAAATCTGATAGAAATAATCTCACCAATAGTAAGTAAAAGGCATTTGATAAAATCAACTATCTTATTAAAGTATGGGGGTGGAATAATAAGCCTGCTAGCGTAGATTTTGTGATACATTTTATTGTAAGATAAAATGTCAGTATAGTATAGATTGTGAATTTGAAGTTCATCAAAATATTAAGTGTCTGTTGCAACACAAATGATGTTTGTAGAGGAGAGTAGTGGTTGTCATGGGTTTTCAGCCGGGCTCTATTGATGTTTATTAATTTAATAAAATGCATGTCTCAAGAATCTGAACTTTCTGACCACCCTGACTTAAATGCTGGATGCATTGAACTAATTGGACCTCGACTTAGTGACTGCCCCTGACTTGAATACTGGTTCCATTGATCCTATTGGACCTCGTCATTTGTTTTACCTACAAAAGTTATTTGCAAATATATGTGCAAACAACGACCGATGAAATTATTACAAGTATTTCCAAATTGAACGAGGATCTCTCTTATCAGTGCATGGTCAGCTAATTTTGGGATTTCCGTGAACCCAACTAAATGTCAAGCAATTATGGTGGGAAGCTCCAAACAGCTTATTAAACTGGATTCTGGTATGCTCCCACCTGTTGTGTATGAAAACTCTGTAATACCCTTCACTTCTACTAATTCGTAGCTCAGATGGACATCACAGATTGCCGAGGTCAGTCGTGTGTTTACTTATTCTTTGCGCTCGGTTAATCGCTTCAGACATTTCCTTCCTACCAAAACTAAGGTCACCCTCGTCACTTCCCTTATTCTTCCTATCATTGACTATGCTGATGTCTGTTACCCTGATTTAAACGAAGATCTTCTCAATAAGTTGGACCGCCTAGTCAACAATGCAATTCGTTTTATTTTCTGCCTCCGCAAGTACGATCATGTTTCGTGTTATCGGTCTCAACTAAAATGGCTTCCAATTCGTCAGCGCAGACAGCTACGACTGTTCTATATGCTCTTTTCCGTACTTTCTAAGCCTAACTCTCCAAATTACCTTAAATGTAAATACCTTTGTGTTTCTCATGACAGACAACTGCGTTCTGCTAATACACTTGCACTTTCTACACCGCTTTTCCATTCTGGCTTTATGGCCGACTCTTTCACCCTTCAAGCCATACGACTGTGGAATGGTCTCTCCGACACTATCAGACGATCTCCTAACAAATTCATTTTTAAACGGAAAGCTCACACTTTTCTCTTGGAGTATTTATGAAGATCATCATTATGTATTTGTATATGTATATGTAATTGTATATGTATATGTAATGTAATTGTATATGTTTATGTAATTGTATATAATTTCTTCTGTTGTGTAGCTTAAGTAGTATAATTATTAGTAAACTTTATGCCGCCATCGTGTATTTTTGTATCACAAAGGTTGACTGGTAGAGAATGCTAATAGCATTAAGTCCGCCTTTTGTACCAATTCAAAAGTCGACGTTACATACTTGTCATTCCGCGCATTGTCGGTTGCTGATGTTGCATTATGATATACAATAGACTAGCTACTTGAAAAAAGACTGGACTTTACTATTTTGAAGTATCTAGTAGTTAGGGAGAACCAATCTTAATTAATGTATTTTATAACACGGGAAGGTTATGACTATAGCAATAAAGGTATACCCGTATTATCGTACACATGAAGAATATTAGGTTTGCTGTCAGAAGCAATGGCATGCCTGTACAAAATCTTTGCATTTTTGTGTGTTTCTCATAACAGATTTAAAAATCGGATTTGCTATTACGGTTGTAGACAATTAAGACCTACGCTTAAGTAAATTTATAATTTTTAATGGAAGTTATAATCTTCTTACTTTAAGTGTTTATTAAAATCAGGCCTTATCTTACGGAAATCTTTTGCTAAAACTATGATATCTAGCAATTTTCACATCAAGTTAACATCTGCAAGACTTGCCTGAACACATGCATGAGAAGCAATAAATCTCGGTGCTGCCACTTTACAAGTGTTTTGCCCATCCTTGGAGCATTCTCAAGAGTTGTGAGATCATACATCCTTGACCCTTCATATATGTCTGATCATTTGTTGTATTTCTTCAGCTGGGATAGCTGAAGAGTTAGCTGAGGCCACACAGCTGTGCTGCAGTCAAGGTACAAGATATGCCAGAAATCACACGTCAGAAGATTGCTCCTCATCCGTGCCACCTGACGTATCACCCGCTTATGGCGCTCTTTGCATCTTCGCCATGGACCAGTGTTGTAAAGAATACTTCCAGTAAGTCAAAGTCAAACTATATTATCGTCAGACTATTAATGACCCATTGCAGGTGGCTTAGGCCTTCCTTAGATGGAATCAAGTAAAAATAATTGGTCATAACCCATCAAGCAACAGGCAAAACTACTTATATTATTACATAATAATTAATATTAAACTACAGTAAAATCAAAATTAAGTGAATCGCATCTCAACTACTTGTATTTTGCCATTTTACTTTCTACCTGAAGTTCAATATTATTGGATATCTGTCGCTATGGATTTGTGAGGAAGATATTGCACTATCAATGTTGGACTTTAAGTAAATAGTACAATGGTAAACTGCAACCATTTGAGGTTCTATTGAGATGCAATTATTAGGTAAACATTAGCAAAATTGGCCTGCAGGTCTGCTGTGAATTGGTATGTGTTGACGATTGCAAATGCCGTAGTTCTAAACACGTTTCGTAAATTTAATTTCGAGACTATATAGTTTATAAAAGTTTGTTTTGGGTAACTTGGAGAAGTTGTTCACTCATTTTTGGACAGGAATCTTTTAATTTTTTTGTAAAATATACTTTTGATAACATAGGTGGTGGTCTTCATGGTGGTGGTCACCTTTGAGATTGCCTCCCGATTTTTTCTGATTTTGTACTAACAACTCTGCGCCTTATTCACAAGGAAAATGAATATAATAAACATTAGGAATATCTTTAAATAAACCACTTCTCAGTATTGAGTTTGTTTTGAAAACCATATAGTTTACTTAGCCTGATTTAACTAACGAAAGAATAATCCACTACTCACAATGTTAAGCCGCGTTCACACTGATGCTCATCGATTGATAGTAGGAAAATTTTTGATTTTCATAAGATATTTATACGATGGAAAACATATTGAGGTTTTTATCATAATTCTAATATATTTCAGTTTTTTTATTTAAAAAAAAGAAATGAAATGCAAAGGAAAACGGAATACGTAATTATTTTCAGATCTGCTCTTAGCGTCAATCATAATAAACATAATTTGTCGACTAGTGAGCCTCTGTCTAATTTTTAATTTATTGTTTTTTTTTACAGAAAAAAGGATAATTGTGAAGATGGCGCAGAGATCGCAAACAAAGGTAGTTGCGATTCCACATCAGGTTTTACAAAGGTAATTATAAGAATTTCTCTGTAAGTAGGAGCTATAAAGTTTTGCGTGCGTGCGTGAAAAATTGGAAGTTGTGATTGTGAATGTTAAGCAACTTTGGCATGATTGGATGACAAAATAATTATTCCCTTTTTTGTTTGTGCGTCACATTCCCATTTTATTATCTTTTTCTTTTTTATTATAATCGTTTTCTAACAGAAGTTGGGATCAAATTGTCATAAAAAAAATTCCAAGCACAGGCTCACGCACCTGCTCGCAATCTTGCATATTTAACTCGCCTAATATGTAACACGTTTAGAAATTTTGCCCTAAGGATATAGTTATAATTCATATTTTCATTAAAAAGTGTTATTAATCCTGTAGCCCTTTGAGTACCCTTTGAGTTGTATTCAAATCTAAATCTATCAAAAACTATTTTGGCATAATTTTCTCATCAAAATATTTAGTAACATACGATGGAGGTTAGATTTGGTCAAAGTTGTAACCTATCCCATTGATCAGGTCTTTCTTTGTTACGCTAAACAAAATTATGCGAAATAAATTATGCCAAAAGAAATACTATCCTGTTAATTGTAATTCCGATATACAAACATTCAGGCGATCAATAACGTTAAATTATAAAAGGCCTTAATCGTATTATAATAATATGATACCAAGTATGATATGCTACTTAAATAAGTTTCGAATCATCGAGATTCCGCCAGAGAGAAAAGTTTCAACTCAAGTTTTAATTAAAGCTTTTTCCGTCGATTGAAAGTAGTGATTAAGCCCAAAAGGACTAAAATTTATTTGAGTCACATAAGTAGGTAACTGGGGACTCGTTATCTTACCTATGCGTTTACGATAACGTATATCTATTTTGTGTTTATCATGTGTAAACAGTGCATAAACGTCGTATCTAAGACGTATCTCTAACGTCTACATGAATGGTTTTGTTGATATTGACATTCTTCCTTATCTGGGTGCAATAAGAGTGACCTAAATCTTGACTGTCTGTAGCTATAGAAAATGGTGCCAATTCCACGTCTGCTGGCTGCACGTCAAAAAGCCTATTCTGTTTGTGCTCGAACGAAAATTTGGGAAATATCGAATCGCTCTTATTAAGTTTTTGAAATGATATCAGGTTACCTACATTGCACCTTAATATAAAAAATGAGTTTCTCTGAAGTCATAGTTCCGTAAAAAGAATAAAATTTAATTTAAATAGTTTCGATGACCCCTAATCATTGTTTGATTTTAATGTAATGTTTTTTCAGACTTGTTGCACGGAATGTTCAAGAGGAAAAGCTGCAGGTTCAAAGCTTGGTGATAGTGCATGTACTTCAAATCCAAGGGGCACTAGCCCTGAAGAGTTATTGGCTGGAGATACCTACGAGTCGTGTTGTAAGGTATTTCGTTAACAGTTTTCACCAGAACGAATTAAGAGCAGTCGTATTTGGATATAGAAATGAAAATATTAAGAAGGTTCTTAATAAAACCTTTTGTGTTTTAATTAATCATTTTATTAAATATAAAGTAATATTTTAAAGGCACATGTATATTTATGTTCTTCGAATCCGTCAATTGTGGTTTTTTTATCTTGGCAAAATACCTTATGAACTATCTCTGCCACCTGCCTATTAGCAGGGAATATGTGAGGATCTGTCCCACTAACAAACCCAATTCATGGTAACACCAACAGGGCGTATCTTTGGTTAGATTATTGGTATCTGGAGACAGGCAGTCTCCAGACCAACCAAAATATTTGATACACAATATCATGATATTGGAAACAGGTTTAATTTTTATTTATCTATTCTATAGAAAGCAGCAGAAGAACCTCCTGATGATCACAATGAGGAACCAGTCACCACATCAAAAAAATCCTTGTTGAGTGGTATGTATGAGTTTATAGTTTAAATTGAATCGATCACCGTTCTTATCTCTACTAAATGTAGTATTTATTAATACATTTTCTTCCAGTGCTTCCTTCCCTGTGCGAGGATTACGCACCTAACGAGTTATGTGCTCATCATTGCATCCCTATACCAGGTTCTTATAAGTGCGAATGCAACCCTGGTTTCAAACTTATGGCTGATCGAAGAAACTGTATAGAGGTATAATATGGCCAGATGTGAATCACATTATTTTTCTTGCTACGGCTTTATTTCATTAAAAAAAGTTCAGTTTTTTTGCAAATTTGGAATAGAGATATGGAGCAGATAAGTGCCAAGTGATACATTTATCATTGTAGTTATTTATTTGAAGAAATATTTACGTAAAATAAATAGATTTCAGGCAATTCTGGCATGTAGCCGCTGTTTAGAATATAATTAAAATTAGAATATATTTTATTGCTATACTGTGTACATGTTACATTAGCAGCTGTTATTGAATAATTGAACCACATCAGTATATCGAATTAGATATGAAATACAGAGAATAAGTATTTAGAAGCAACGGTAAGCCTAGAAAAAAAATCAAAGTAATTAAAATGAAAATAAACTAAAATCAATACTTGTGTAGTCAATATACGATGATACTCGTATTTCATGTTTACCCATAACACAAGCTAGGTGTTCTATTTCTTTAAAATACATTACCAATTTTGACATAAACATTTACAGATTAATTACAACTGTTTATTTTATATAATTCAAGGTAGTGAAGAACAGGTGCAAGCCTCATAATCCTTGCCAACATAAATGTAATGACAACGGATTACAAATAAAATGTTCATGTCGTAGAGGATACGAACTCTTACTTGATGGGAAATCTTGTAAAGGTGAATTTTTGATATCCTATTCATTTTTTAGTAATGTTGTGAATTTTGATTAACGATATGAAGCTATTGAAATAAGTTTCGCTATAAACAAAGTAAATTTATATACATCTTTAATATGTATTTAACAGATTAGCTATACTCGCTCTATCCGTTCTCGGCATTTGTAGAGCGTTTACTTTATTTAATCGATCCTACCAAAGTATTTGTCTTCAAGTCGCTGTTGCGCGAGTCATTGAATTTAAATACTGATTTGTTAGATAATTTGTACGTTCTAAATATCGAGTTGAATCTGAACCAATCAGTATGGAACAAACAAACAGTAATAGATTCAATAAGACGGTAAAGAAATCCATATAAGTGTAATTACGCAGCAGTTGGTAAATTGCTATTAGAGTTTTACTATGATTAATCATTACATTCTTTCAGATATTGACGAGTGTATTTTGGACCCTCCAGTTTGCCTTCCTGGCACACAATGCCATAATATTCAGGGTTCTTACAGGTGTATACTTACTAAGAAGAATAATCCAGAAGTGGGACAGTGCCCACCTGGATTTACTAAAAACATTATGAATAATGCTTGTGACGGTAAGTTAAATCAAAGTTTTTATAGGTTATCGAATTCGAGAAAATCATATTTCAATGCTTTTTATCAAATGTAGTATAAATTCACAGTGGAAATTATAAAAAAGTAGCTCTACAAGAACTAATGTTAAATGTTGAGTTAATATACGATCACGTCCCATTCACACAACTTCATACGCGATAATTTCTGTTGGTACATGGATTTTTCGATTACTTCAAAATCCTAACACCGAAAAATCGTAATTCTATCGCTATGTAAAGGAAACTCTGAGAGGAATTACAAGAAACGCCGTCATTTGGTGATTTGCAGATATAAATGAATGTAAACTTCCTCGTCCACCTTGCCCGTCCTATCTTTGCGAGAACACAGTGGGAGGATACAAATGTGGTGGCGTGCCAGGAGATCCTGTTAATCTAGCCTCTTCAATGAAACCTCCAACTGAAGACAGATGTCCATCAGGTTTCAGAGTTGGTTACAACGAAGAATGTGAAGGTAATAGATACAAAATACGAATATGTTAAATGTAGTTATGTTAATTTATAATATCCGTCCGTATCTGTAGCAGAATTGATATTATAAGTAAACATAAGATAAATTTTGTTAACAGATGTGGACGAATGTGCTATGAACAAAGATGATTGTAATCACTTATCACAGTTCTGCATAAACACACGAGGTGAATTCTACTGCCAAGATAAAGTGTCTAAGCATTGTCCCCCAGGATTCAAAATAGATCCTATAACCAACAAATGTGAAGGTAACTAAAAATGTTTGTGTTATATCATAAATAATAAAATACTATACTAAAAGAGATATACATTTTTTGGTCATAATATTCCACCTTCTTTACTCGAGCAATATATCAAGTTCCTGTTACCATATTTCTGGACTAGATGGCGGCAGTTATGTATAAGAACAATGGTTTGTCTCTGGTTATGCTTTTAGTAACACATTCGAAAATGGTTCAGAAGTCTTTAATCACGCCGTCTGTGCTGATTTTTCAATCTCTATACTTAATACAACTACTAAACTTGTGTCAAGAATATGCACCTGAATGAAAATGAAGACTGTAGCGCTTGTTATTGATCTATTTATCTAATAAATGTTCTATTTGTCCAGATATTAATGAATGTGAGGACGGTGATGAAATTTGTAGACCTGACCAAATTTGCATCAATCAGCTTGGACAGTATGATTGTAAACTCAAAAGCTCTTTTAGGTAAGTGTTTATTTATATTTAAAGGTTTTAAATTCCTGCAAGTCTTTAATGTAATTTTTTTCTTTTTACAGAAAAGACCGAATCTGTCCCGACGGCATGCGCTTAACACCCGGAACGTCCGTTTGTGAAGGTAAACAAATGAGGTATTTCAACAATAAAGGGTTATTTCTCTATTTAACTATATCCGGTTATTTTTAAATTCTACTTGACTTGACACACGTATCTAAATTTTATTAGTATGGATGAAATTTTATTTATTTGTATGATATAGTTTTTGAATGAATTATAAAGATTTTTCTAGGCTATGTGAATGTACAATTAATCATATATAATAAAGCAAATCAGTATAAATTGTATTATGCCATTCGGAACTGAACATAACATGGAACAAATGACCGCCACGGCTTTTGCATTCTGACATGAATTCAAAAGTCTATATCTCAATTTTGAATATATCTACTGCAATGGCTTACGTTACTTAAACTTTCATGGCATCCGCTCGTAAAAAATGCGCTAATATCTCATGCTAGGTTTATTCCATCTCAACAATTTTTGTATACTTTTTGAAAAACTGTATGTCTAGAAGAAATTTGTTCTAGTTTTATTACTTCATTATGCATGTTTTAAAATCGCTCAGCATATTTCAGATATCGATGAATGCGTCGAAGGCACTCATCTATGTGACCAGTATCAGAACTGTCTGAATACAAATGGAAGTCATGAGTGTACCTGCAAAATTGGCTTCGAACAAGACATCACTACAGGAGCTTGTGTTGGTAAGATATCTGTAAAAACTAACACTATAAAAAATAATACAATACTAAAGCAAAGCGACAAGGACAGTAATATCGTATTAGTCATATTATACATATAAAAAGAAATAAATTACTCTTCTTCTCAATTTACTCAGTCTTTTCTCTTTCGTACCTATAATAAAGTCTATATCGTTCGTAAAAATACACTGTCATCAAATAAATGTATTGTAATATTGATCATATTGAGACTTCATTATCTTTTATCTACAGTTGTTGTTCTCAACAATTAAATTGTTCAAAATATTTCATATACAAAGAAGTGGAGAAGTATACACTGTTTGTCAACTATTTCTATACAGTATATTATGTAGTATTTGTAAACAAGGTGGATTTAACATCTTATTATAAGGACTTGAGCAGTTAGTTCAAGTCTATATAATAAGATGTTAAATCCACTTTATTTGGTAACAGATGTGAATGAGTGCGCAACTGATCAGCACAGCTGTATACTCGAAACTCAGAGATGCGACAACACTATTGGCTCATTCCTCTGTATTAGATTTACATCTTGTGGTACAGGATATATTCTTCAACATTCAACCGGCAAATGTGAAGGTAAAGAAAATACAAGCTAACCATCAATCTTCTTTTACTTTCCTCCTTATTTATATAACTGTGTATAATTGATCTACTATCTATCATTTTTTTTTAATTCTGGCTGATTGACAGTTATTGTTAAACTACTAGAAATTTTGTTAAAATTTCTTATATTGGAATAGTTTTTCAAAATAATAAATACAAACAAATTTTTGTAGAAACATTATCTGTAGTCAGTCAGCTGTGGCTAATGAAATCTATTTATTTGCTATTAACATATGTTTATTTTACAAATAGAACTGACTAATGTCAACAGATATCGATGAATGTGCGTTGGGAACACATAATTGCGCTCGTGCTGGACCGGAGTATCACTGCGTCAACATACCGGGATCATTTAGATGTATCCGAAAGCGTTCTACCACGACATCTACCACGCCGTTGCCCGAATATGAATATTATTACGACTCTGAGTAAGTGCATTTTAAATGGTTTCGTTTGTTTTAATATTTTAAAAAGTATTAATTCTTTTCACAGAGAACAATCAATAGTTATCGATTGAAAATACGCATTACACAGTTAAAATTTTCTTCTAAATATGTTACTTCTCTTTGTACCTAAGAGAAGAAATAGATGGAAACGAAACGAGTCCACAAACTGGGAACCAGCCAGAATATACATCTTCCACAACGACAACACCTAAACTTGAAACTTCAAGTGAGACACCGCGAACAGTTCCAGCTACAAAACCTACGGAACCACCTCATCCAACAAATGAATTTCCTACTATATCAAAAACACCCGATAAAAATGAAGATAAAAGAATTCATGAAGTTGATGAAAGAACTAATGAAGTAGTTCCACCATCAACAGATATACCTGAGACATCTATAATTAATTTCAAATCAGAGCAGCCGCAACCTGTGGTACCTCCAGAAATAGAAGAAGCACCTACAACACCTAAAATGGAATTCAAACAACAGCCAACTGAGCCAAAACTTACACCAATCTCACCAAAACCAGACAAGCCTGATTATTATGAACCTAGATCAACAGAATCAAATTATCTTGAATCGCCTAGTATAAACGAGTCAACACCACCTGATACCAATGAATTAATGCAACCAGAGACTACTTACTCTCTTATCTCGTCAACACTACCAACTGTTCTCAATCAGCCTTCTCTTGTGTATGTGGAAGTAGGCAAAGAAACTGCTACGGTGAAAGCTCACAAAGAAGATGATGGTTCTTTGGTGATAAACACTAAAGATGTACCTAAAAATGAATGGACAAAAGTAAATGAGAAACCAACAAACTGTCAGTTTGGATTTGAGTTGGATGAGTATGGGGCTTGTTATGGTAAGTTAATGTTGTTCTTTCTTTTTTTATATAGCTATATATATAAGTATATTTGTTATCAAAAACTCGTGTTAATTATCTAATTTCAGAAGGGAGCAAGTCCTAATTGAGCTAAATATTAATTTTAGTACAGATATTATATTACTTTAGCGATATGCTATTTTGCTATTATATCGAAGAAAATACTGTTATAAGCCGTAATGTAAAGACAAAGCATAAGATCATAAAGATCGACCACATTATTGAAAATCAGCTAATTATAGTGCCTCCTTTAATTGATTTGAAATGTTGAGACATAAAATATTCTTTCTTTTAGATATCGATGAATGCGTGACCAACAGACATAAGTGCTCGGGTCTAACTGAGATTTGTAAGAATACGATGGGTGGTTATCTCTGCGAGTGTGCGCCAGGATTCCGTAGAGACCTATATACGGGAGCTTGCGATCTCGTTGTTTCGTCTACGTCTACCACCACAAGTACAACTGTACCACCCCCTACAACAACTCGTAAGCATGTAAAAAATTAGGGAACTTTAATATGAATCATAATTGTTTTTAATATTGTTAAGTTATTTACCTAGGAAATCAATTTATTATTACATATATTAAAACTAGGTAAGCATTACATGTTATAAAAATAGAAATAAGAAAGTAATTTGGTTTTTCAGCTAGACATTACTTCTGGGGATATCCGGAGTTCCGTCCGCAAACAGTTCGACCATTCAGACCCAGGAATCTGTGTGATGCTGGATTCCATCTCGATTCGCGAACAGGGCAATGTGAAGGTGTGTATGCCGATATAATAAGCAACTTACATAATCTTTTGCACAGATTTGTCCCTGAAATGAGAAAAGTTGTTTGTTTTGGGAATGGATTCAATGCTTCTCCCTTAACTAGGCGGTACGCTGGCAACTTTACTTTAATTCAAGGGACAAGAGTTATTATAGGTCAATGCATCGTTGTTGGCAATTTGTATTAAATCTTACTCCAATACTTGCCAATCGCAACTCATGTGTAAACTTGTATTCCATTTAAAGCTAAATTGTAACTATTTGCAATAGGAACTTTGAAATTATTTCAGATGTGAATGAATGCATCAACGGTCAAGCAAACTGCGCAGAAGTGGAAATATGCGTGAACACTGAAGGTGGATACCGTTGCGAATGTCCGCCTAACTGGCACATAGACAATTTTAAACAACGTTGTGTACCCAATAGGACCAATGAGCAGTTTCCAACTGGATACGGAAATCAACCTGGTAATCAAAATGAAGAATGAATTACATCAATGCTTATGTTTATTATTTTCCATTACCAGAGTACTTTTTACAGAGTTTAAATATGGTAACACTTAATAAATTAAAATTTTCTTATTAACTATATATGTAGTATGAAATGTTTTAAAACATTGATTTCTTCTTAATTTACTTATATTGTGTTTTAAAGAAAATAATATATCAACCAAATCTATCAAACAACCAAAATTTACCACTAACTTTATATATTTACTGATCTAATCAATTTTATCTTTTTTTCTAGAATATCCATCAATACATGGTTCAATAATTCCTAATTTCCCTCAAGGCGAAATAAAAGGAACTGACTATGTAGACCCAGAAATAACACCTATCGAAAATAGAGGAACGATTATCAGATGCCCATGGGGATATAGACTTGGGGATGACAGCACTTGTGTGGGTATGTAGCGATTGAAGTATCTTAATTTACAAATATTTTATATTTCAATATTTAAACATGCCATTGTTGTTTCATTTTTTGTTTTTCTGGTCTCTCAGAGTCTAAATCTTATAGGAGGATGAGACAGGGGATTTCCGATTTTCCAGGTTACTAATTTCTGGTATACTTCCCCAAGCTGGAATAATATGGTACACAAAATAGATGCAATGAAGGAGTAGTTGCCCCTGCTGTCTTAGGTTTAGCCTAAAACCGTGCTCAATTTTTTATTTATTCTTTGTTTGGTGATTTACTCATACATTTCTATAATCCTTTTTAGGGTTCCGTAGTAAACAAGGAACCCTTATACTTAGTTTCGTCGTGTCCGTCTTTCCGCCAGTCTTCAGTTTAGCTCAAAAACTATTGCTACTAGAAAGTTGTATGGCCTAAGTAAATATGCCTACAAATCGATAAAGTACAATTTCGAAAAATAAATTTAAACATAGTTGGATAAGTCTTTCAAAAACATTGGGAGTGGGGGAAGGCCGTTTCGATTAATTGAATCTTTTATGACTTATTAAGCTATAGTGAGATAATTTACATTAGAATCAAGTATTCCCCTCTCTAGCAACTAAACACTCATTGGTAAAATTCAAACTTTACTACAGTAGTACTTATATAACGAAGTTGAAAGGAAACTATCGCACTTATGTCGCCTTTACAAGTTCACGAACAATAGTCGACCAAATGCGATCTCTGTACTCGAAAATTTCTAACTTCATAGAACACAACAAACGTATTTTTTTTTTCTTTTTTTAATGTATAATTCTATGGAACTCTTCGTGTGCGAGTCCGACTCAAGCTTGGCCGGTTTTTATATATATGCCATTGTCACAGATATAGACGAATGTTCTACCGGCGACGCCAATTGTGGACCTCTGCAAATATGCATGAATCTTCCTGGTGGCTACACTTGCAGTTGTCCTTCGGGACACAGGCTAATCGGAGACCACGAATGCGAAGACGTCGACGAGTGTATGCTGGCTGGACGTAACGTAAGAAGATTGTGTAACGACATTAATGAGTTTTTGATTGTATATGAAGTTAATATACTATAAAATAATATTTTAAATTCATATTTCGGACTTGTTACAGCCAATTTGCTCCCAAAATGCTGACTGTATAAATACTATTGGATCATACCAATGCAGATGTCATGAAGGTTTCCGGTCAGCACCTATCAATGATAAGGTAAAATATGTATTTAATATGATAATCACAGTATAATTTTCTGATTGCCAATAATAAAGACAATCCAGAAGAACCATAAGTGTTGTCTTTATAAATACTAGAAATTATCTGTGCTGCTATTTCAGGTTTGTGTAGACGTAGATGAATGTACGGAAAACAGAGCTGGATCTCTTTGTGAACAACGCTGCAATAATGTATGGGGAAGTTATCGTTGCTCCTGTCATAGAGGTTACAGAATAAATGCTGATAATAGGTACGTCACTATTGCTTGAAGAGGTTTAGTCCAAAAAATAATTATTTAAAAATTTTAGAATTGGTGGCATGCGAAATATGAAACGAGTTAATTTTAAGTTTCATTGCTTATTATAATTTTAGTACCTGTGCTGATATCGACGAGTGTACAGAATTTAAATCTAAATTCCTATGCGTGGGCAAGTGCTACAATCAACCTGGTAGTTATAGATGCGATTGTCCATCAGGATATCGATTATCAGAAGACAAGAGGAGTTGTATTGGTCAGTATCATCTAGTAATTTCGAACAACCGTTGTGTTAGGAAGCAAGATTTATACGAGGGGTGCCTTTTATGTTACTTTGTTCTAAAACAAAATTAACAATTGGAACTTATTAGTTATTTAATCCACATTTCCATATGCTCAAACCAGTTTTTATAACATATTCCACTCCGAAATTCAAATCCCCGATTTGAACGTTTCTACTGCTTCTACATCCGACTAGAACCGAAGACCGCGATATTTTTTTTTTTACCTGTTTTCGGGATCGTGGCAACCATTTTCTTTGAAGTGCTTCGCGACCGCACCTAATTCTAAATTGGCGGTAAATAGGTAATCAACACAACATAAAAGGCACGCTTGGTAAATTGTCACAAATTCTAGTTAGGTTACTGTTATTAATGGTATATATTTATAGCATTTATCCTTGTTTTCCCTTTAACCTAGTAACCGATGCACAAATAATATTTAGTATATTTCGACTTTTATATGAGTTAAAGAATAGAATACCTACATGGGTTATTTGAGATAAATATTTAAAGTGTGGTACTAAAAACTTCAAGAAACGAAAATCAAATATAACGGTAGTTTTATTGGCGTTTTTTTATTATCAGATATCGACGAATGTGAGACTGGCATAGCCCCATGTGCTGGTGCCTGGACCGGCAGTGGAAGTAGCGATGTTTGTCTCAACACCAGAGGTGGTTATCGCTGCCATCGCATCAACTGTCCTCCAGGGTACCAGTTGGAATCCAAGCAGTGAGTTTTTAACCTTATCAAATTTATTGTGCGTAATTATTTTTAATCTACGATTTTTTTTATAGAACATTATGTGGAGATTTCAATTTCGTGGTTATTATGTTCTGTATTTTATATGTATTACTCTGTATGTTGACAAATGTAAAATTAAAAGTGCTTTGCAGATATAAACAACGAATATAGCTATTACAGCAAATATCATAAACTTTTAATTTTATACTTATAAACATATATTATTAATTAAGATATATTAAGACTCATTGTGATGTAAAAACATTCCAGTCGCTGCACTAAAGTGGAAAGAGTATGTCCTCCAGCCGACTGGGAGTGTGCCCACCAGCCATCGACTTACTCCTACAACTTCATCACTTTCGTCTCAAATTTGTTCATACCAGATTCCAAAGTACGTGGCTGACCCTCGAGTCTACAGTAAACTTGGAATACCTTAGTAATAAATTTCGTCGCCGCTTCAGTTTTTGAGCTGTTTGTGTTTTTCTTTCAAAAGCAAAGTTTCGAAAGTTTATTAATATTTTAATTTTTTATTTTAATAAAGTAACGAAAATTACCCACTTTGATCTATTTTAGCGTCATTTTTCATGACAGAAACGTTCAGAACACTGTATCGCCATTTTCTGACAGCTATTTTGGTAGTTTTTTTTTAATACTGAACCATTCTAGGTGGACCTCTTTACGATGCGAGGACCAACGTGGGCGCATGCACAAATCAAATTCCAGCTAAGATTACTCGACGTAAACGCACCACCTACAGTTAAAAACAAGGCTGATATTAACAGCTTTTTGTAAGTATTTCACTACAGCTAATTTGTATGAAAAATCCCTTATCCCGAAAGTGAACTAAGTAAATTAGTCAGGTGCTTGTTAAGACTTCTAGCAGTATACATAGAAGCCTTTGGATGCTTATCATCCTGCATAAATTAGTGTTGTTGCAAAATTAGTTTTGATGCGAACTGGTGGCATAATTTGTCGACTTTCTTCATTGATGCATAACAGCCAAGACTGAACGTGATACTTATTTTAATTTTTCTATATGAAAATGACATAAATTTGAATGATTGTTAAATAACAACAATATTTCAGATTATCACAATCGGGTAACCAGGGAGTAGTCTCTTTGGTGCGTTCCCTAGAAGGTCCACAAAGCATAGAGTTGGAGCTGATGATGGAACTCTACAATCGGGGCCAGTTTGGGGGTATTGCCGTCGCCAAATTGTTCATTTTCATTTCAGAGTATGAATTTTGATAGACTTAATTAGGCATTTGAAGCATGACACGCATAAAATCGAAGTATGTCAGTAATCTGGCAATATCTGTCTGACCATGTTAATTCATGCGATGGATATAAAAGGAAATTATGACTAGTCTACAATTTAATTTCTGGGAAATTAACGCCATTAATACACCTACGTAATCGCATGCGAAAGCGAAACAGTAGAAAAACTTGTCAGTTGTATGGAAATGTTTAGTATGTGCTTTGTCTCGCTCTATTTTAAGCTCGACGAAATAACAGCTTCCTTGTCAATACTGTTTCGCAGGCAAATGCGAAAAACGTAGTTATAAGAGCGCAGATGTTTTGAATACGTTGGTTAAGATCCTTATTACAAAAGAGTTACTAAATTTTGGCAGTAAAATTACATATTATTATACATTATATCTAGTAAGACACTAGTATTACATTGGGAACAATTTATTATTTTAATTAGGACCACCTTCATAACCAATTTCTACATCAACGTCATTATCATTGGTTTGTCAAAACATACTTTTAAATTTAAGAACCTTAGATTTATTAATTTAATAAATCTATTATTTTATAAATTATTAATTTAATAAATCTATGCGTAGAACAAAACCAATCTCTTATGTAATGTATGATGAGAAAGTCATATTATTGAAACCCCTTTGATACCTAATATAATAGATAAATGTAAACAACAGACTCAAGAAATAGCTGTTGTTGAAGTTTTTTGGTTAGTTATTTACAGTTCGTTAGTTTTTTTAAATATGATGTTATTAGTAATATGTCATTTGCGTTAGAGATGGGTCTGCATGTAACCTTTCTGCATATCGATAGCTATTAGCTATTGATAAGCAACTGACTACTAAGTAAGAAAAAGTAATTTAAAATAAAGAAAGTAATTAATTTAGAGAATAACTAAGCATATTACTAACATCAAAATATGATACTAAATAGGCAGCCACTCAGAATGTTGGATATCTCACTCATATTAATGGACAAACTTGAATAAAAATTCTGCTATATATGCTTGTCTCAATGGTAGAAATCTAGTAAACATTTGGCGCTCTATTTTTTAATGCCGGTTTTTTTCCATAAATGTGTCGTGTCATCCGTATACCGTCCTATTTGTTTCAACTGTCAAGTCTTTAAATTATATAGATCACTAAGTTACGAAGTTACGCGAACTTGGAGTTGTATTCTTAAAATCGATTTTTGTTGTATATTATATCTATATTTATTGTAGATACATATATGGCTCACTCAATTATGTTCTTCCACTCTATATTATTAATTCAAACCCTGCCCAATATCTTCAACTGATTTCATTTCTTTAAGTATTTCGAATAATAATAGTAACGAAAAAAGTAATAAGTGCTTGAAAAATTTATCAGTCTTGTTAGGTTCTGAGTAGCTCAGTGGTTAGAGCAGTCGCTCGGATCGCGAAAGCTCATGGGTTCGAGTCCCATCTCAGAGTGCCAGGGACAACTTGGTGAATTTTTTAAGTATTTTTCATTAAGAATATATTTCGAATATTTATTATTTAAAGGTAATACTGTAAATTTGTATGATTGTAAAATATTATTTTAAAAATGTGATGCATCGTTTACGGCTTTACGTATAAGATATGTGCGTGTTATATTTTTCAATCACTATCATTGCTTTTTCACATAAAATTCTGTATTTTTTTTGAAAATAATATCTAAAATATATTTTTTGATATGACAAATAAAACAAATTTATGTACTTAAGTGTTTATTAGTTTTATATGTTATGGTTCTAGCGATTTCAAGTCTAAATATATTGAATACAGAGGTTAAAATTGACTTCGTAAAGTCGACAGTGGTAAGTGGATGCGCCACTGTATGTGTCATCTGATATTTCAGCTATATTACATGTAACGCTAAATATAAGTATTTGAAAATAGAATTTGTAAACAAAACGTTGATAAAATAAAAATCATCTTTTAATAAACTATTGTTTTTTTATATAGGTAATAGTAACAAATAATATTTTTAATTTAGTCTACATAAATTTGCACGTTTTGACGTTTAAGCATCTATTTTTATGAATTCAGATGCGAGGTTCGTTAACGAATTTAATGAATAATTTGATTCTGATTCCAGGGTACATTATAGGCTATTAATGTTTAAAAATATTTTATTAGTCGTTACTTTATTTTAGTTTATTCAACTGTATCTTTAAGAAGCCAACATTAGAAACGAGACTATATCTAATTATTAGAAACAACATCTACTATCAAAATAATTGAAAAAGCTTAATAAAATCATCCTCACATCACAGTGTAGAATAATAGTATAGAATGATATGCCTCAATCCAGTCACTAAATATTAATAGTGTATAATGATATGCATCAATCCAGTTTAATCTACTACTTCGGTTAAATGCTTCCAAAGTATTTTTAAAAACGAAAAACTCTATTTCTACAAACCAACATGCTATTTAATAATAATTAACTGGATAACGTATACTTTTGGCGGCACTATTAGAAATAAAACTGTCAAATGTTGTCTATAATGTACATGTATGTATGGAATATTTTTGTATACCAGCATATAATATCTGTGATTTAAAAATATATTACTCTTGAATGAAATATTTACTTCTGGAACATACCGCCTCGAAATGATTTTGTAATAACAAAGTTTATATTATGAATAAGATGTTAGTGAAGATAATCCTTTGTAGCTATATGAGCAAATACATAGTCAGTATATAAATAAAAGTCCTCAAATTCATATTAATAGAAACTATTTCATTTATTTAATGTAACACACAACTACAAAAATACCTACTTTGAAACACACTACGCTAATTATGTAACAATTTTCTATTTGGAAATCTAATTCTATATTTAGAATAAATCCTACAATAATCCAATTTCTCTAAATACTAACCGACTATACCAAAAATCTTTCGATTTTTTATCACAGACTTTGTACCATTCGTAAGAAATAGTAAGCATAAAATACATACATTTGATAATGAAATAGTTCGAACAGGGTCTGAAGAAAATAGAAAGATTAACACATGAATACAAAAATAAAAAACTAACAAATTCATTTGAAATATAAGGACGTCAGATTATCTTGTACATAAATAGTAATTGTCTAGTAAGATTATTGAATAAGTTCTATATCTTTGAAATCTCATCAATAAATATGAATCTTTGAAATTGAAAACAATGTGAAATGTCCATTGCATTAATGAGAACCTTGTGGAATTCCTTTAGACGTTATATATGATAGATTTTTGGGATAGGATACAAGAGCAAGAACATAAAAAAATGGATGATTTCTTAGAATTTCATATAACAATTTGTAACATTTTCGTAGGCATACAAAAGTAATGGAAGTTGTCTTGAAACATTTTCAAGTAACTGTAACGGTTTGCCTACCCTAACTGCCTCATCTCAAAAATCTACTCTGCATCAAATGACCTAGAATCAAACTCAATGGTGAATTCATTGTACCCCCGTTTATTCATGGGGGTCCACTATGTTCAAAACGGTGAGGCATCCATCTTGTGAGGCTATGGCCACGGCTTTGCCCCCGTGCGCACTCGCCACACCAGTGACCTCTGCTGGCGCCCGATACTCTGCTATAGCTTTACCATCGATGGTTCTAGAAATTAACCAAGTTTTGAGCATAAACGAATCCGGATATTTCATTGGTACATTGGCAAATAGTATATAATAAAATCTGTATATAAGTAATGTCTTGAGAATTGTAATACAGGTTTCTAATAATGGTAAGTAATTCAGGTAAATTTTTATATGGCTCACCATTACATAAAAATGCTGGTATAGGACAAGCCAAACACTAAAACATCATAAATCTGCAATTATTCGTAATCAGCTGTGCTCAATCATTTAATATTACCTGAAAACCCTTAAAGATTTCCTGCCACTATGGTAGTAGAACGCGTACTGATCGGTAGAGCTGAACATCGTTATAATAGAGAAGACTCCTTCGGCGGCTCTCGTGATCAGCTGCTGAACGGTTGCACCTCGTTTTAATTCGATCAGCTCTAAGCCACCTCGAGTCGGCGCGCATAAGCCGACTTTTCCGTCTCTAGTGCTTGCTCCATTCCAGCGAGGAACTACCCTGTATGTTTGAAATGTTACATACATTTAATGTCCTTGCTATAAAACGAAATGGAATATCAAGAAAAGGAGAACGAGAACCCACAACACGGGCTCAGTGTGGATTGGTGGATGCTAACTGCAGAAGAACCGGGACCAATAACTCAGTGAGGCTTCAAAGACACAGACCAAACACGCTAACCACTGCGTTATCAAACACTTCGATTACAACTTACGTAACGTAGAGTTATAAATAGACAAAACGTAAAGTTTGATAAATCTCATTTAAACGAATCTGTCAAATTATCAAGAATAGGCATTTGCTTTACTTACCTGACATGTCTCTTTGTTTTTATATCCAAAATACCAGCTTTATCATTGCCCACCACCGCCACCCATAGTGGTTTGTGTGGCAGAGCCACTATTGACTGCATATCTTTTATGCCACTATTCTTAATCGGTATTCTAAAATTAGGAGAAGAAGTGATTTTATATATTTCATTGAAGTAATTGAAGTGACCAAAATTATTACTAGGTTGGTACGCGTAATCATAATTTAATTAGATTAAATTTTATTCTTATCGACTAATAAGGAAATCCAACAATCGTTCGAGTTGACTAGTAGAGAATACCTTAAGCACTAAGTCCGCTGTTTGTACCTCGTGTGATCATAAGTTTGGATACGAAATAAAAGTCGCGTAACTTTTTATTAATTAACTTATATTTCTAAAATTTTCAGTGACCGTTAAATAGATAATAATCAACATTAAAACCCTTAGACGATTTGGCCAGTCACCAATGGTGGCACACATCTTTTCTAACGGAATTGGCTTTGCTTCTCGAACAAGGGTTCGCTTCAGTGACTCACAAGTTTGGGCCCACCCAAGCCCTGAGCTTTGATTCAATCCATAAAGAATAATCCAGCAGGTTGAAGTAGGAGCTGGAGCAGCGCCACTTGTCCGTCGTGATGAAGGCCGGCACATTTTCCCTCAACCAAGCTTGGGTGCTTTTTGCCTGATCGGATAGCGCATGGGATGGAAATAACGTATCAGACAGGGATTACACCACGGGCTCTAAAATGTCACTCTGATAATTCTTAGCTTTAACCTTAAAACCTTGTTGGCAGAAATGGAGCTGAGTGTCATCTTCATACGAAACTCCCCACCATACCATCACACTAGTCGGATGATGAGTGCGCGATACATTGCGTGCAGAAGCTGGGATATCCTTGCTACTTTTAACGCACATTTATTATTTTGTCGGTTGAACTTTTCTTCATCAGTAAAAATTTTCTCGTCGGTAAAGAGTATCTTCCTGGCATCATGTCTCCTCAGCAGCAATGGACAACGATCGCATCGTAATTTACGAAGATGATCGTTTAAAAAGTGAACTTTTCTACGGCTATAGGCCTAAGATCATATTTCAGTATTCTGTTCACTGAAATACGCGAAATATTAGTCTGCAGTGCGAGTTTGTTCTGAATGCGACATGGATTTCGGCGAAGTCGCTCTCGGACGATTTTAATGTTTGCAGGCGTCCTCACACAGCGTGGCCGACCACTCCTTTTGCGATCTTGCAGAACTTGTCTCTTTGTACCATTGTATTGTGTAATAGACGAAGTTACGACTTACAGGAAAATTTTTGAGCTTGCGGAAAATCTGAAAACTTTTCAGCTCGCGGAAAATCTGCATCGGTTTTTTTCCTGCCTTAAACAGCCAAATGACAGTTGCGCGTAATTGTTTTGTTCCCTCCATCACGAAAAAATATAAACAAATGATTTTGCGATAAAAATAAACTAAAAGTATACATTCCAAATTCAAAATCGATAAAAATTTAATAACAGCCTAATAGTTAGCCAATTTAATAACAACATTTTATTTTATTTTTTCAATAAAAAGTTTTTCCCAAAGCCTAAGAACACGCGAGGTATAATATTATAAGCAATAAAGAATAAATAAATAAAAATTAGGAACAACATTGAATAGCCCTTTAAACCACAGATTTAGTAAAGGTACAGTTACTACCAATAATGACATATAGTTAATGACATTTTTATCGAGCGTTTTTAGTCAGTAAATTATATCGAAGCTTTACCTATGTAACCTTGCACCAGTCTTAGCGTGAAAGATGTGTAGACAATCTCTTATGGATTTATCTACTCCTGGAGCTACCACGTGATATTCATCGGACGAGACTACTGCTGCTTTATAACCCATTCCTCTTACTTCAAAATCAGCTGAATAAATCTTTTCGCCTTCTGTAAATAAATTTATTATTAAAATTTCAATATGTTAAGCTTTTACTATGTTTTATTGTGGCTAGCCCAATACGACTAAAGGATTAAGTAAGTGCCCATTAGGCTGTTTAAGGAGTTTTATGTAGCAGCAAAACACTGAGATATGATAGAAATTTTTATTTACAGGTCACATAACGCAATTCATAAATGGTAGTGAATTATATTTTGATTAATTAGACTGACGCTTTAGAATAATGGGAATGGTGAGACTAAAGGGGAAAAAACTATTTTGTTAGCAAACTAGATATTAAAATAAGCTATCATAGGATCTTTTAACAAGTATTTAAATGTGAATGTTAGATAATATAAGGAAATAAGTAAGAAACCAAGAAACTTGTCTGAAAAAATTGTGAGTAGCATAGCGGTCCTAGAAGTAAATTAGACGTTATAATGTCCACTGCTGGTTTCTTACGATTTTTAAACTTTGTTATTTTTGTAGGCTGTGCATTACGGAAGAAATATTAAATTACTTGAATTACATAACTGGTTGTTTTTTTACCAGGTATAGTTCTCGCGGTGATAGTAGCATTGGCTACAGGCTCTACACTCTCAGATGCGATAGCCATGGATATAGTTATAAATTTAGTACCATCCTCTAATAAAAGAACTTGCTTTACGCCCTTCTGTTCTTGTTTAAAGATAACCTGAAAAAGTCCATCGTATTTTTATATATGTCATTTCCACATTCATTAAATAGTTTCTCTGCTTCTTTTATTTTAAAACCGAGTTCTTTTGAAGAAACTGACTTATTTATTTGATAATGATTTGAATATAGGTTGCATATGTTACCTGTTTCTCAGGAGTATCCCATATCACTACATTGCCTGATTCAGCAGTGACAACGTTATCCCCATTAGGAGTGATGACTGCATGAGTGACAATAGCCCCAAGAGGAGCATCTGCTAGTTGGGCTAAAAGATGCCCAGTACTGGTGTCCCACAAACCCCAGCAACTTCGAGTAACAGTCACTGCCAATTGCTTATCTCGTGCCAAACTAAAGGATAAATGTAATAAAATAAACATGAAGAAATCAAACGTCAAGGTAAATTTGATGTTTGTGAAAGTCAATCATTCAACAATATTGACTTCCAGTATTGCAACATGAGAAAGTTAAGATAATTTTAGAAGATATCCTAGAAATAAACAAACATTATTCAGTGTTATTCTAATGAGCAGGTTGAGCAGACTTTGGGGTAACACAAGATTACATACCAAAGCTACACTTAGCAAATGAAGGTCTTGAAAATTTACATACCACTAGGTATTGCAAATTGTACATTATTTTCTTAACAATGCTACTTAAAATACAGATGAGCTAGCATTAAACCCATTAAAATTATTTTCGGAACTTATCGTCATGGTAAGCAATTGAAGAACTGATTCCAGATATATACCTAATGGAGTCTATAGGCAATTCTTGACGGTCTATCTTATGGACTTGTTCGAATATATTATCAATGTTCCATATTTTCACCGTCCTGTCGATGGAAGAAGTTATAACGTTATTCCATGATCCAACCGTGAGTGGTTCCAATTGTACAATCCGACCGAAATGGGCATCAAGCACTTTGATCAGTCTTGTCGTCTCAAGACTCCAGACATAGAGATTCTTTCTGAAAATAAAGCTTATTTATTTAAAAAAATCATAATATGTCTAATATATAAGGAACCAAAAGCGCCTCAAAATGTTGGCTCATGTATTCAATTACATGTGTTAGAATAATTCAAGAGTGTTAAATTAATGAACTGGTTTGCGTTGGTGTATAAAAAACAAGTTATATTTCGACATTTAGTATGATTAAAATTTTACTAGCATTTGTGTGAATTTCCAACATATTTGTCAACTACATTTTTTTATTTCATCTTCGTTTTTGGTTTATTAATGAGTAGTCTTTTTATGTTTGGGCCACGTATTATGCTGTGACGCAATTGTAAAGACAGTCATAAAGCTTCACCTTACTCCAGCAACAGCGTAAGTGTTATTGTTGCTGATCATGAAGGAATTAGAGAGTGTCATTTTAGTGGAAATATTCCGGATAGTATGAGGCAATTTAAGTACGATGCCTTCTACGCGCATGTCTTTCTCCGATATTTCATCTTGTTTTTCTTCCTGTTTGAAAAAGCAAAAATTTATAATTATCAAACATATGTTCATCTTTATTTATATAATAAAATACTTGGGTCCCATGTACAATAAAACAGAGAGCTTAAACCTAAAGTATTTATGTTATCATGAATAGGTTTTTGTTTAAGCTTTCTATTTTGTATTATTATTATCATACTTCTGTTTCATCTTTCTTTTTGTTAACATCATCTTCTCCCTTCTTCTTCTTTTCCTCTATCTGGTGCTTATCTCTTGGGATCACGTTATCAAAGTCCCACACTACAAAACTGTATGTTGTCGTTGCTAAAAATAATAAAATAGCTGGTAATATAATGATAAAATATGTACTCGTATTTGTTATATATTAAAAATGAGATCCGCAGAAATAAAGATATTTTAAGACTCATGAATTAGCAAATCCAGACAAAATGTTTTCTCTTAAAATTACATTAGAAAACTAATAATGTGAGCAAAACAAATATCGGCGTTATGTTACCAAGTAGCATTTTGTCTTTCCTCCCTCTTTTGAGCTGTAGCATCGCTTCTGCAGTATCCGTTTCTCTATGATGAAGTTCCTCTACTTTTACCCATTTGTCTTCTATCAGTTCGAATATTGATACCTGAAGACAGATAGTTCATATATTATAATATATGATACACATGAATAGATAGGTAGATAACTCTTTGTTGTTTTCGCATATATAGTTAACATTTAGTTGCTTAAGTCCAAAGTGGGTAAAGTTGGTTTATCGCTAACATACAGCCTATTTGTCTTAGGAGAAATATTATATTTATATAGTAGAATAGTGTTTTACCTGGTAACCTCTTTCAGGGTCGCTTGTGTAAATCTTGGTCCAATATTTGTTCATAGCAAACGCGCCCCTGCATCTTAACGGTTGCATCCATTTGCCATCCTTGCAGAACTGGAACAGCATGCGGTCATCGTCCAGGTCTCCACTCCACATTACCAGTATGAACATATCCAGGTCACGGAATTCCATTGCTGGAAGTTAATGAGATTTGTCTACAATACGTGTTATTGATTTTCTGCACTTTAATTAAAGGTAATCTTGAAAGGGTTGAAATGTGGGAGTTGTTTGCCTACTACTTCTAATAGTGGTTCTGCCTTAGCAAGAAGATGGCGAAACCACTAATATTCTTAATATTTTCCAATTTGGCGTTAGAGTTTTAATACCAAATAATCCAATGTAACGTTACTATGTCCTAGACATAAAATATTTTGACTACCTGGTTATCTTGTCATCGACCTATAATATCCTTATTGCCCGGGCACAGTTATAAAAGTTGCTAAACCTCCCCATGACAAACCGAATGTCACTATACCACCGATCTCCTTAATTAACTCATCGGTCTTAGACAGTATAACTTACACAATATCTCCCAATGAAGATCATCATAAGGTTCTGTGTCAGGAGCAGGCGCGGTCTTCTCGTGTTCTCCTCTCATGCTATACTGGACCCAAGAATTAGGTCCATATATTACCATATGATGATTTAGAACCGACACACCTCGGACTGTTTCTCCTAAATAAATTACACGAAAGAATAAATTTACATTGAAATCAGGAGTACTAACCTGGAAGTAAACGACAACAAAATATGTCAGGAGCTTGTTATCTCAAACAAGTTGTTAACGCACAATATTGTGGTGCGGCCGCGGCGGCCGGTGACAGTGACGACATCACGTTCTTTCGCCTACGGTTTACGTCGTTGGCCACGAGAGGGGTCTGCTATATAAACCACTAAGATTCAAGTCCCCGCCGAGCAAACACGTTACCTTATTTTTAAATAATATCAAAAATATTGTAAGCTTAAGTAATACACCGATTTCAAGTTGCATATCGTGTTTAAATTCACTCGTCCAAAGTACAAGCCTCACCACAAGTGGTAGTAGAAGTTACCAACAACTTACAAAACACCATCGAATCGGATGTCCAATACTTTGATACTATTTCTAAATAAAGTGAATATGTGACAACAATAATAAAATACTAAGGGAGATCTAGAAATCTTGGAGGTGTATCACGACGAGTGGAATTTTGTACATTGATTTTGTGCCCGCTGATAGATATTGGTTCAACATTCGCTACCGCAATAGCAATATTTTTTTTAAAGTGATATATACATGCGGGTCATTGTACGATTTTATTCTGTTCGGCGACTGTGCTTTAGTCTATCATCTCATGTTGGTAATTATGAAAGATACCCAACTTGACCAACTCAACTTTAACATCCAGTCAATAATGTCGAATTGCACCGACTGGTGGTAATGTAAAATTAATATTATAAACCTAGTTAATAAATAGGTGGAGTTATGTTTTGCAACTGTGCTGATGTCTTGAACACACAATCACTTAGAAAATATCCTTACCTTACTTTGTGTTACATATGAGATGTTCCAACCTTAATATTATATATAGTTAAGATCATCATGTTTAACTAGAAAACTTATTTAAAATTACCTTCGTCCAATGGATTTTCAATTGTAATATATTCACTTGTCAGCATATTCAGAAGCATCGACTGTAAGAAAATTCATTAGTTTAATGATTTTAGCGGTAACTAGATGTTTTTTAACAAAGGCGAAGTAACAAAGTAACTTGTCTACATTTTTGGTTGACGATAATCTATCGATGGCTGAAGCTACACAATTTGTTTATTCAAATACATTAGTCTTTACAAAATAATTTTCATTATTTATATCAACAAGAATGGGAACAGAACAAAAGTCCTCAGAGATGGCGACACATTGATACACTCACAACAGAGTTGTTGGTGGAGGCAGCAGCCCACTTATTATCTGGCGACACCTCCAGGTTCTGCATGATACCCTCCAGCTGGGGACATAGATCCCTTGCCAAGTCAGACGTGGACAGGTCCCATGAGATCACGCGGCTGGAGATCGACACCACGTAACGCTTGTCTGAACTCAGCCGAAATGCGAAAACTGCGAACTGGTGACCTTCCAAGGAATACTAGAAACAAAACATGACACAATCTGTTGTCAGTTGAGCTGACTATTAGATGTAACTCTGAATTTCATCGTACCGAGCTTGGAAAGAAGTATTTAGATTGATTTAATGCATATCATTAAAAAAAGGAATTTCTCAAAATATTGAGAGCTGGTCAGTCTATAATCACTAAATATGACAAGAAAGCTTCAGTTTATGACCTGCCAATGATGATAAGCCAACATTTTTAAATTCAATATGCAAACTATATTGAATCATTGACCAAATTCACCTACTACCAACACCTTATCACTTACTTTTAATGGTCCACCAGGTGTATGCAAGCAATGATGTGATGGCAGTAGCGCACAGTGAGTCTTGCCTTTATCGTGGCACTGCTTCAGAAGCGAAGCTACTGCTGGGTTTTGCTGTGCTTCCGGCAAAAGTCTGCCAACTAGCTGAGGAGCTAACATATCAGGATACTGTCCAAGTATAGCACCACCCAGACGTAGAGCGTCTGCTACTAGCATTAACTCTCTGAAAATTATAGTATCATTAATGTCGATTTTTCGTTTACAAAAGAGTTTGAAATTAATCAATCTTCAATATTAAGCCATCTCAGATACAATATGATTCCTAGAATTATATTAGTCATCCACTTTTGCATTAATTCCATCGAAAATTCTTTTTTAAATATTTTTGACAAAGTGAGTGATGGGGGTTTTGGAAAAAATACTCCCATATTGGTAGGGATATTAATATAAACAGAACTTAGAACCGAATAGTCGGTCATCAACTTTACCTGACAGCGTCTTTATTGACATGAAGCTTGGCATCTTCAAAATCAGCTAAGACGGCTTGTAGAGGACAACAATTGAGTTTGGCGTGTAACCACTCATAGTTGAAGAGAACCTGAGCGTAGAGATCCGTGAAACGCTTAGAGCGTACCAGATGGAAGGGAAGCTCACCAAACTGCAAGTAATTATGGTAAAATGACCAAAATTAATAGACTCACTTGTAAAGATAATAAATATACCTTTAATAAATTTTCCATTGATTTAATTTAACGAACTTGATCATAAACAGTATCGAGAGAACATTACTAGCGCTTAGATGGTTTATTCTTACGATAATTTGGTACTATGTTGTGCATTTGGGGCAGACGATCGAGGTAGTAATCATTATTTAAAAACTTTCACAGAAATATCATAATAACTTTCTGAATTGAAATGCAAACACACGGTTTCTGAATTGAAAATTTAAAATTAAGCACGTCTCAATCCGTACTTAAACCATCTTATACGTCACTTAAACAGGTTTCGTTTCTGATTTTCATTTTCTTAATGATCAGTTGATAGCAGTTTTATCAAACTAGGACTTGTTGTCATATGAAACGTAATAAACTTAATTTTTTGAGAATTTTAGTCGAGACTTTGTATTTTTCTCAATTCAAAAACCGTCTGTATCTTTTGATTTAGGATGAGAACTTCTGAATGCAGCAGAAAGAAATAGGTTACCAATAAAGTTTACTGTATTGAGTTATTAAGCATATGGTAGCAATTCCGTGAATAAAAACTATTTTGGATGGGATTAATATCACCTTTCGCAAGTTGTATCTTCTGTTAGCACCATCAGCGGATGTAAATACCAAAGGTTGCAGAGGAACTTTCCTATCGGCTACACCTTCTCTATCAGCCAAGTTGAATCGGTGTCTCTGTATCTCTGTGTACTTGAACGGCTTTGGTATACCACCACCCCAGATACCTAAATAATCATTAAAAAAGATGTTATTCAACACATATGATGCACTTGCAATGTATTTCATCATCATTATCATTATCAGTCCATTAATGTCCCCACAGCTGGGGTATGTGGCTTCCCTTCCCTTCCCTATGGTTGGAATCGAATAGGGAGACTGGCTCACAACTCACCACGACCTCAGATGCACCCGGGACTAACCGTACAACCTTCACGACACAACCTGGAGATTATTTATTTTTCGTTGTTCACTGCACGTCTGATCATGTACACTTTGGTGGTACTCGTTAAGAAATCATTGAATAAATAACTATTACAATCTTACCGAGATAATAATCAGCAATCATGGAGTGGAAATACATGGCCATGTTCATATTCTTGAAGTACCTCTCTCGCGCCGTGTCTCTGAACTGTCTATGGTACCAGTTCATAACAGATACTCCGTCCGCTTCCCGCTCAGAAAGATAGTTGGGTAGATCATTACGAATTCTGGAAAAAAATGGTACGAAAAATATTTGGTTCACACATTATGTTAAAAATTAAGTTAGGTTTCATATTGCAAAATTTGGAATTACTCATTAAAATTATCGTTTGGAAAAGGACGAGCAAAGCAAAAATATTGTTCTTGTTTATCTCATTGGGTGCTATAAGAAGATAACAATGATGGAATGGATAGTTTTTTACGGTTTTTTACTACAAAAAACGTTTGACAGAGTAGAACGGCATTCTAAGCACCACGTGCTGTTCTATCAATACAGCAGCTATACAGCATGTATGGATATGGTTACCATATAAAAATATAAACAAAAATATTTATTATGACATTTAGCAGATAATATATCAATGAAACCCTGGCTTCTGAATTTAAGAAAGTTTTCTGTCAGAAGATAGTGGCTTCCTAAAAAAACATTTGTTTGGTATCGTTGAGTAGGTCATTAAAACTAACAATTCATAAAAAAAGAATACAAAATTAAATTAAATCTACATATGAAATTGGTCTGTCTTTATTGTGTGAGTTTGTGTGTCATCGTCACCAAATCATTACCAATCAAAGTTTATGCCTTATGTGTTAATGTAATGACGCCTTTCTTTTGGACGATTCAAAAATGCTTGTAATAAGCTCCTTGAATAAAGGTATTTTCATTTCATTTTCATTTCATTTCATTTACCTTGTCCAAAGTAGAGGTGGTATTCTTCGAACCGGTGGCAAATGGTACTGGTATACGTCGTCCAAGACTTTATCATCTAAACTGATCAAGTCCTCCAGTTCGGTTTCAGAGAGACCACTGCGGGCAGCCGTGATGTATGCTAAAGCATGGAATACTAGAAGACGACCATGCTGGGAAAAGATGGAGATAAAAATTGCGTAATTTTTTTTTAAGGAAATAAAATAATTATTTTAAGAGTCCCGATATTTGTAAATATATAAGTATAATTATTACATTATATGGTCTCTAGTAGACAACAAAGAAATTTATCTTCATCCTAAGTGTTACATGTATGTGACTAAGTTGTTACTTAGTATATCACTATGTAACGACTATAAAAAAGAGCAATTAAAGGAAATGAAAGCAAAAATCTTTAAAAAAGTGGAAAGGCTTCTATTGTTGTAGTTAATATCAATGAGTTCTACAAAAGCCCCGCCTGACTTTAAAAAATGGTTCTAGAATATTTTCTCACATTTAGCTTTTTTTGGGAATAGGTAGTTAATTGTTGAAAATATTTTATCCAGAATAAATAGAAATATTTAAGCCAGAATAATTTAATATGAATCATCATTCATGCGATATAATACCTGTTTCTCAATTCTTTCGAAAAGCATCATTATAGAATCCATAACAGTCGACGCTAAATGAGTATCCGTCGGTTTGGTGTAGCTCCGCCATCTGCAAACCTGCCAAGAAAGACCTTAATTTATTTCAAAACCATGACAGAGTACAATATAAAAACTCCAATTAGAACATAAAATATATGGTTTTCTTATGTCTAAAGTAGAATCATCATCATCAACTAATTTAATCATGTCCCCATTACCGAGCACAGGCCTCCAAATGAATGGAATCGAATCGCATTGAACCGGGACAATGGGCTCATCACGTGGGCTTAACTACAGTAAAACGAAGCGATTTAAGATATATAACTGTAAAACCAGGACTTCTTGTAAAGATTCAGGAGAAAATCTTGAAACTATGTCATCGAGCTTTATTATGGTGACAGAAAATGAATTAGTTACCTCGGCAAATACAAGTTTGACGAAAATCGGCAGCGAGCACTGGGAGATGGCATTGGATACCAGCCTCCACTGGTAATTTGATAAGTCACGGCAAGCAGATGCCATCCACAATCTACAAATACAGTTTTTTATCTTAAACAAAAGAATAGCAATTACCACTCTGGTTTTCAACAACCTCTAGCGTACCACGTTGCAGAAATGGATGATTCCTGAGAAATATTTCCTTATGTTGTCAGCCGTTATCTGGCTACTTTTTTCTCACTGCGATTCACATTAAAGTACCAATTATCGGCTCTTTATTTCAGATTTTATACTTGCATTAAAAATAAATGTGCCATGGATCTAACTAGGAACAATTGCATCGATTTAAAAAAATCTATGACTTAAGAAAGCTACTATCATTGAATTTCCAAGTACTTTTGCTCTATTTTAGTCAGATTTAAAATACTAACTTAAGAACTTGCATTGCCAGATCTTCTCCCAAAGCCGTGACTTCTAAGAAATTTTCTTCGTTGTCAATCATTCTCCTTAAAACATCGTATTCTTTGGATACTTCAGGATTTGCTTCTTCACAGGCACAGGTCACTATAATCTGTAATTAGAAAACATTATTTGCTTCATTTTTAACAACTTCTTACTGTACAACAAATCTGCGTTTATGACCTTATTATTATTATAAAATATGGTAATGATAAATATTCAGTAACTTAAACAAAATATGCACGTGTAATTCATTATTTGCCAGCGATGGACAGATATATTGTTATTAAAATAGATTGGAATTTCAGAGTTTTGAATAATAAGGTGACGGGTAGTTGGCTTTAACAAAGGATTATATTGCTAACAAGTTCACTTCAAATTTTTTATTACCTTACAATGTGGTGGTAATCTAGTAGGTAACCAAGATACTTTGTTATTCTCGGTTCCTATACCAGTGAGCTGGTCCACAGAATCCAAGAAGAGAAGTAAAGGCTGTTGCTGCGAAGCCATTGTCAGAAGTTGCTTGAAGTGAGCAGTTAAGGGAACCAGGTCATCGGGGATGCTCTCAAATGGAAGGGCGAAATTGTAAGATATCTGGAAAATAAAAATGAAAGAAGATGTAAGTCCTAAAGCGACGTTTTATAATTTACAAAGAACGCTCGGAAACATTTTTCTAAATCTGCTTAAATTAAGGAAAATATTTTCGTCAAACATTTTTTCTGCTGCCTTATTATGTCCTTTCAATTAAACTGTGTTTAACCTACCTTCGGTATCAAGTTAGAAAAAGGTTGATAATGAACCATTGCAATTATATTGTCTGAGGTCTTGTTAATAATAATAGTAACAAATGTATATTACACACACATACATAATAAACATTAACCAAAAAGGTCTTCTGTAGAGAGACAGTCGATAGAAACTTACGGTGCTATAAATAACATTTACATCTACAAAAGAGCAGTTTTTAATATAACATAATTTTAGTTCTACATAATACACATGAGCTATCAATTTAAATTACGGATTTGAGAAATATCTCGGTTGTTTTAATAATAGAAGGATGTTGTAGAGGTAGTAGATATCACTTGTAGTTCTAGGAGCTTCCTACCTGTTGACATATAGAAATAAGTGTGGGAGTGAGTGCGCTGGAATCGGGTGTGGTACCCAGGAATCTGATGATATTGGTAGGGCGAACATCAGCAAACCAAGTGTCCAGGGACATTGCAGCGCTTTTAGCCAGCAGACTTGTCTTCCCGCAGCCACCTGTGGGCAAAGATTTTCATTTTGTGTCCTACTAGCTTTCTGCAATCGGCTTCGCTGGCGTGGTCCTGTATTATAAAAAAAATCTCTTGAACCACTTTGTACATTGATTAGAACCTCATTAAAATTCGTGGTGTAGTTTCAAAGATATATAAGATTTGCGATTGTTGAGGTAGAGCGACTTTGGTGAGGGGTTGGTTGAGTGATCAAAAATTTATTAAGTATGCGAGAGATAATTTTTGAAAGCATGCTAAGTCTTTTGATTCGGTCTCATCTGTAGTTATTAATGTGGACCTTTTGCGCTACGTAATTTTATCTATAAGGAACGTCAGTGCTCAACTATAGAAACATCAAAAGGCTGACTTGAACTGAAAAAATGCTACCATCATGCTACTAATTTTAGCAAAATGTGGAGGTTTTGTAGTTAAGTTTTGAACCTTCTCCATACAGGACCAAGGGTTTCTCTGAGGTGTTCTTCATGTATGTCTCGATGTAAAGCAGATCGTCGGATCTGCCGTGAAACACTTTGACGGAATTGTTGCAGGCGTGAAGATGTTGCAGAATTTCTGTCACTATCACCCCTTGGGCGCTGCTATCTTCTTTACGCATTGCTCTGTTAGACAAGTGATCTAATTACAAATACTTCTTACATTATATAAGGGTCTGCTCATGAATAATATACGACTATCTATCAAAATAATCAAAAACTACGATTCCATCAATTCGATTTTTCGATTCGATCGAGACAAAATTCGTTCGCATGACTGGAAATTTAATTTAAAAATGTAGGGATGACGTCATTAATAATTTATTCTAAGGCTTTAATTTAATAAGATAATTATTTTTGATCAATTTCGCATTCACAATGCTATACTGAAAAATATTCTTAGTGAAAAGTGCTTAAAAATCCACTTGGTGCCTGGTACCGTTTTTTTAATAGCTGGATGAGAATTAAGTAGATTAGATTTCTTTTATCACGTGTCTTATTAAATTAATTATAGTTACGTCTACATTATATCTTCATTAATAATATTTATCTAGTTTAAAAAAGCTCATAATTTCAATTTTTTCTTACAAAAAGGTTTTGTTATTATAAACTTGTCAGATTTATAAAATTACCTGTCCACGAGCTTGATGATGCCCTTGTAGAAATGCGAGATGAAATGGTTCAAGTATTCGCCGTGAGTTTCAGGGTCCAGACCGTCCCTTCCTATCCATTCTACTGTATATCTGTTATTATAGATACATTACATACATTTTTAAAGGTTTTATCTTTTACTGGCGTAACCTTTCTAGGATTTAATTCTGATAAAAAAAATAAAATCAAACTTATTCATTTCGATCTCTATGTTTTGCCCCTAATTTTTAAACAGAAAATAGAATTAGAACTTATCGAAAAGTTTGTATACCATCTTATTAATATATCTATTCAATAAATACTTCCGAAGTAGCTTCCTTTATACGTATCTAGGTATTTTTCTGGTATTATGGAACATGATAGTTCGATTGGGCAGTGATTTGCGCATTAGGTCTGTTATGCAGAAGCTAAGCGCAAGTGCCGGTTATAGGATGAGCAACCAACATTTTAATTATATTTAATACTTTAGAAAATACGTTAAGCTGTTGGTCCCAACTATATTATATGTAGTCGCTAATACCTGTTTATACGAACTGGGTCTGTGTCATGGGTCATGGCCCATTTTCTCTACTCGATTCAATTCTATTTCATGCACGGGGTAGGCCCGTATCTCAGCAGTGATGATATTAATAGTCTGGAGATGAAGTTCTTTAGTACTTATACCAGGATCCATGTTCATTAGTTTTTACTTACTTCTGTATATTCGTGGTTTCTATCTTATCGGGTAATCGTACGTCTCTAAGATCAGCTAACAATTTGGACGCTTCTGAGTCCAAACTCCTGTTGAGGATGTCCACGAAGTTGCTGGCTTTCTTCAGATTTTGAAGGTTGATATTGTTGATGTAACGGACATAGGCTAAACAATGGTTCTTCGTGTTCTTCACGTTGAGAATGCCATTTATGACTTCACGTTCCGTCACTGAAAATGAATTTTGATAATAATGTTCAATTAAATTTTGCTACAATAAGATTAAAGAAAAATATTTAATAACACCTAATAAAGATTGAAAAGATCTGAAAAGTTATAAATATTTATTCTGTATCATGTATATTGAACTTGTAGAAAAATATTATTTCATCTCGAATTTTGTAAGTGTTTTCCATAGGGCGATAAATTATAAATATACCTAATTTGCTCAAAATATAATAAAAAAAAATTCTTGATGTTTTGCAATAGAAAAGGCCCGATATATTATGAAGAGGAAAGATTTGATAGTTTACTTATTTGCTTTGTATAGGCTCTAAAACTACTGATTAATTTTTAGAATCCATTCACCTGAGGCTTAAATTTATGCTTAAATTGAACTTAAATTTACTAAAATGAAGCCACGGGAAAACAGTAATATATGAAAAAAAAGATTACTAGATGAATCCAGCATTAGCAAATATTAATTTGGAACAGTAATAGTTTTTATAACGTAGAGGACCACTAAGAAAATATTGAAAATATGAGATATGGGTTTGAAAAGTCTATACTAATATTATAAAGAGTTATAGTTTCTAACTTTGTTAATTTGTTTGTTTGTATAGTAATACATATATAGTATAGTAATATAGGTAATCTTCGGAAATACTGAACTGGTCCTAAATTCTTTTACATATACAGGAAGCTAATTTATACGCTGGTGATACAGCCTATAATTTTAACAGATGAAGGCGCGGGAAAACAGCTGGTTTATTTACAAGAGTATATAGCAAATATAACTGACCATCAGTATCCTCGGTACATCGAGGAAAATACTGGTATCTAATGTAGTGTAAAGACTTATGTTGACAGAGTTTATGAAAATCAGGATATACAATGATAGAGGTTTCAAAGTTCTCCTTTAAAATGGAATAATGATCTACAGTTATGTGAATTTACCGGACATGAAGTAGTTGTGCATTGTGTCTTTATCAATTTTGCCCGCAGCGAATAACTGGGACGAAGCTTTACGGAACAACTTCTGCATCTTGTTAAGTGTATCCCACCACACTGCCTGATCCTCCGCTTGGAGTTTCGGCACCCGCTAATAAACAAAAGAGGAAAGAAATTATTTTATAATAGTTTTAATGATAAGTGCTTAGAAAATTAACTTGGAACTGGTTGTTTTTTCAAGCATTTTGAGAATAATATAGTACTCAGTAAGGTAAGTGTCTATTTCAAAATCTATCATAATCCTGTTCAAAGTGTTCGTAATTTATTGAATTATGTATAATTTAAAGTCGTAATCGTTTTTTGGAACGAATGATGATATGATATGAATGATCTAGAAATAAAAAAATCAACTCTTTCTTTAAAAAATACTCAATAGATTTCAAACATATCGACATCCAACGCTTGCGTTCAACAATAATTGCGTGGTGATCGCAATCGATATCAGATGTCAAATAATTATAGCATGAAGTTCGTGAATATCTATTAAATGTCAACTCGAAAGAGATTGCGTTAGATTTTAAAATTTAGACAATTAGCTCCCAGGTTATTGCTTGTAGATAAAGTTGGTATCGTATATTACCAACTTTATTATTTTAAATCGATGAGATTCGAAGATATCCAACCTTATTGTTGAAGTTGATGAGAATCGAAGATATTGGCTGCAACACTGATACAGGGGGTACGGCGTTTGAGTCCTTCTTGTACCATGTATCCAGGAGTATCACGTCCACTCCACCAGCTGCCAACTCGTCCCTCAACATCTGGAGCTCCGATGATAGCACATACGTTGGAATCGGTCTGTTACAGATTAAACAACATTAATACCTAGTTCCAACTTACATTATGATGAATGGAAGCCGTTTTAGAGTCATTTTACGTGTTAATATTATTCTTTTACAAAATATACAAAATAAAGGATTTATCATTATGTTATATATATTATATGAAATTGAAAACACCGACGAACACAGAAACATCAAGGCTACAGGGCATGGAATGTAAATTCGATTTAACTGTTTTGTCATTGGTCCTGCTCTAACTTACGCATATTTAATGTCGTAAAGGAGGACAAAGAAAGATAAAGTGCGATACATCGAAAATTAGTTATCAGAGAGACTGTAGGGCGAATACGATAATTTTCAGCTCGTTTTCTAAACGGGAACTTCAAATTCCATGTGGAAATAGCCTTGAGTCAAACAAACAAATATTATAGAAAAACATATAAATATATTAGATCTTGATAATAGCTAAATGATAATAACGCTTGCATCAATAATTAGTTTTCACATTTTTTCACAAAGTTATTATCTGTACGAGAAAAAAAAATGTAGATGTAGATATATCTACATTTTTTTTTCTGTTTTGGTTGTAAGGTAAGTATGTAATGGGAAAAATAAACTATAAGAAGATTGCGTACGGTGATACGCGCAAGTACATCATGGACGTAAATACTATCACAATGGCCGATGAATCAGTGCAGTCTAATGCAACCAAAGGAGCAGAGGGAAAAGAAAACAGGGCTAGAGAACATTAAGAGGAAAAACAGAATGAAGACAAAGACACAACAAGAAAACGAAAAGATGACAGCGGTGAAAAGAAAATTATAAAAGGGAAAGTGGTTTTTTAGTATAAAATAATAAAATCGATTTTTTTAAATTGTAAGTCAAAAATTAACTGTTAATCCAAAATAGAGAGCAAGACAGACTAGAGCGGGGATTTAAGGTAATGATAGCTTTTACGTACCTGTACCCATATTTCTGGCCCAAGAACACGACGAAATTGGGTCCCATGGACAACCGCTGGCAATTCTTGATCTCCCTCATGCACAGCTCTGTCGTCATGTGATCATCTGTAGCTTCATCTCTAACACCCCATCTCATGTCCACCACCTGGGGAACGGATTATTTGATCATCTCCGTATCTACGAATATCTTCATAGTGCGTCCTTCTAACTTAGAGAGGCCGGATTTTATATTAACATATTTTGCAGTGTATATTTTTTATTTTATTTCATTTTAAAACATTGAAAACATTATTTTATGATTTGGCACTCCCTATCACTGTCGCCCGGGGCAATTGTATTCGAATCCCATCATGGGGTATATTTTAAGCGTTGTTCTACATGGTAAGACGTGAATACGAAGTTGATCAAATCAAATATTAAAAAAATTAATATTTATTGTGCACTTAAAGTTTGACCCACAGAACATAAGCACATTATAGAAGTTTATGATTAGATCAGATAGTTAATTGAATTTTTTACATAATTTAAGAAATCAATAGTTAGAACTTATAAATACGTAACTCGACTTTCGTTTTTGCCGATTTAGCTGACAAAGGTCCTTTTTATGCTGAATTAGTGTACATTTGCTTTGTCCTTATCTTATATTACCTCTCTTTGGAACAACAACATATCGACGGCCGCATCAAATATTTTCAAGATTATAGTAACATAAATGTTTGTTGTAGGGAATTATCGTTTTGATTCGTTGCCCGGGTATTAGTGTAACGCAATTATAGCACTCCCAAGAGTACTAGTTAGCACACGTACATATAAACATATGTAGTTTCATACTAAAATATTTTACTCGTTCAAAATTGCAATTGCTTTTGAACGTTTATTCGTGTGAGAGTGTGCAAATTATAACTATTAATCAATTAAGTAACTATTTTCGTAATGTATTATACATGGCTATTTTCAGTTTTCTTATATGAATTGCATTTCGTGAATGAATATAATACATATAAAAATAAGTATAAAAGAGTGCAGGTTACTTTATGAATGCTGATACTTCAATCAAAGAATAATGAAATACAGCAACTCGTTATAGGAGAATTCTCGAACTGGTCAAGTAATAAGGGTAAGTAAAAACAATTACTATTGTACCTACTTCAATATCGTGTTTTGTCTAACCTCATTCAAATCAACTAACTTTTGTCGACGACGACGTCGGCCGACGATCGTCCCAGCCCGAATTTTTGAGTGAAGGCGAGAATTTTTATGGACCATTATACACGTTAACATGAGCTCCTGTTCAGTCAGTCAGTTAGCCCAATTTACCCGCAACCGAATACCGAAGATATCCCAGACATCAGCTTGAACAAGACATTTGAGGCTTCCAGTAACTTAAAAACAACAAGACACCGGGTGAGGATGGAATCATAGCTGAGCTTTAAAATATTTGTTCTTAAAATCCTTCAGGGGATTCAATTCCATCATCTACGATGACAGAACTCATCTCATCATCAAATGTATAGGTCTTTTTGAAAAAAAATACAAAAGCAACTTGAAAATTTTCAGCCCTGTATCGCTGATGAGCTACTCGTATGTTTACAATTTGTTTCTGGAGTCATCATGAACCGTCTTGAAATAGGTTTGATCTTCAGTCTCCCGAGCAAGTCGGTTTCCGAAAGGACTTTAGCACTATAGTCCACATACAAAGTGCACGCTAAATAATACAAAAGGTCGAGGAGTATAAACTGCAATTATGCTTGGCGTTGACACGAACCAAAAATGATTAGATTGTAATGATAAAAACCTATAGGTATATACCTAATTTGAATCTATGTATCTTTTTATCGACGTACATTTTGGCTTTGTTGTCATACATAAAAATATTTATCTTACATTTATTTTTTATTTGATTAGTATTTGTGAAACATAAATCGCACAATGTACTACAATAGTTTTAACTATTTGCTCTTTTTATATCTTCCGGCTGATGATGATGATGATATTGTACAGCATTCATATTGATACAGATAGATTTCATATCAAGTAGCTCGGTGACGTAGCGGCCCGCGATCGTTATTGTTAAGCAACTTTCGCAAGGGCCGGTCACGGGATGGGGGACCAAAAAATATTATTACGTGTTTCGGAAGACATGTTAAGAATTCATTAATATCGTCGGCGCGGAGTGTTATGGTCCATCCTCTTCACCATCTATAAGGAAGGCTGATGATGATATTGTACAGCGCCACCTACCGTTGTAAATTAAAGTAGTCCATAATGATACTGTAATTTTTTGTAACACCATATAAGATTGTGGAATGAAATAAAAAAAGAACTATTATTTGTTACGTAAAAATGAACGTTTACGCGCAACATTAATTAAAACTAATTCTTAATTGCATTTCGATTCATTAAGTTGTAATAAGCTATCGCTTTAATTGTTTGTTAGCAGAGGACGTGTATATCAAAAGTTACGGTATTTTAATTGTATTAGAAATTAACGACAAAATATGTTGTAACTAATAATAAATTAAAACAACATTTAAGGTCATTTTACTTTTAACAGTTAAAATGGTATTATACTTTATTTATAAAGAAAATTGATAAATACTGAAAATTGATCATGTATACAAGAGCTATATGCAACACTTGCACAATAATCATGATAGTTCGCGAGTAATTTATTGAAAATAGATTTTTACACACAATTCATCATTCTCATTCCCTATATATCTATAGAGACAGTATTTTGGCTTTACGTCCAGCCTTAATTGACAATTTATCCTGGCATCTAAATTATAATCGGTTGTACCAACCAGTGGCGGACTAATATAATCAGAAGCCCGGCGCAGCAATAGACCCGGATCGACAATTTTTTACTTTATTATATTATTCTGATTTTGGCGGATGACTGCAGCCCATTTGAGCCTCACCTGGCTTACTCCGCCACTGGTACCAATGCTGTATTTCAATTTGTAATCCGTGTTGTAGTTTTGTAAACTAAACGTAAATAGCACAAACCGGGGCTAGCTTGTAAACATTTATTAAAACTGCCCTACCAACATTGGCTATTTCAAGAACGGAACTTAACACGTGCAACTCAAATGGTTAGGTTTAATATTAATACCACTGGTTCTTGAATTATTCTAGAAATGTTTAGTACACAGTTTATAATCAGAACAATTTTAGCATGCACTGTATTTATTCATGAATAATAAAATGCGAATGCAAAATTTGTAAAAAAAAAAATTATTTTTATTATTAAATATTAAACAATATCACGTGGATCGCTCAAATAGCGAATTATAATAAGTAGCTAAAGCACTTGTATTATGGAAATATTAATCAACGAAGGAAAATATTGAAAAGTTCATTTTCTACATTGACCTGACGGGAAATCAAAGCCGGGACGTCAAAGATGGTGTACACCGTAAAACTTGCGTGGCAAAAATCCAGCACAATGACACCAATACAAATTTATATTATTGTTTTCAAGGTTTCGTAACCAAAGTGTAAAAATAGTGTCCTATTTTTAAGACTGCTGTCCATCTGTCATTAGGCTGTATCTCTTCTTCTTCTTGGTCGCTGTATTCATTGCTGAAGGTCGTGTCCCTTATGAAAGTTATGTTGACATCCCTGAAGCCTTGATGATTTGCTTTCACACTACCCTATCCTCTGCTTGGTGTAGAGCGGCCACAGACAGTGGATAATCTGGTCCTGATCCTCAGTTGGTCGAGAATGGATTTGTTCGTTCTTTTTGCAGTCCAGGGTACGCGCAACATTCTTCTCCAACACATTCTTAGAGGTATGGGAAGGCCGTTTGTGGATTAATTTTGCCATTTGTGACTTATTAAGCTTTAAAGAGTATTAATTTTCGTTAGCATCAAGTGTCCCCCCCTATACCAACTAAACGGTCGTTAGTAAAAATTCAAACATTTGGTAGTATGTAAGTAGTACCTGCGTTATATCACGAAGTTAAAAGGAAAACTATCACATTTAAGTTGGCTTCACAATTTTATGAGTCGAAAAGAAAATTTCGAACAAATCCTTATAAAATAATAAAATATTTAATTAATGGATAATGGTACGGCATCCTTCGAGTCCGACTCGCTACAATGCGAAAGTAGAAGAATGTAGAAGCCGAGAAAGACCACGAAACACTATAATTGTTCATTAATGCGTTAATTTACTAACGCGCTAAGTATATCATAAAAGGGTGTGCGACAGACGCATTAAATAAAAACACTACCTAAATCTCGCAGCACGTTATTTATTATATGTCGATATTTGAACTGAGCGCATGCTATAGTAAACAATAACTTATTAATATTTTATTCTAGTATATGTGAAATAAAAAAAAAAAAACTAAATTAACTATGTACATTTGTTACCTACGTGTAATGCAATTTTACATCCCTTCACTAAAATTTGTTATTACATTTATTAACTTTATCGGAAACCAAGAAAGTGCCGTAGCAATATCTGGTTTTATTTCAGAAACTAATGTTTTTTTTAAATACTTCCTCATTACCGTTCCCACCCACACGAATACTGCCCGCTCGGTCTTGGGCATTAATGATTGTTGTGCGTGAACACGCAAAATTTTTAACGCCTTAAAAGCGTAAAACGCTAAGTAAGATTAGCATATTAAATTAACACTCTAAGCGCTTATTCAACCACCTCAATTCACGATCAGCTAACCGGGGTTATGTGGGGCTCCCCTCTGCAGACCCGCCCCAGAATGGGGCTAGTCAAAGAGCAGGGGTACATCCACTAAAACACAGCGATGTCCCTCGCATGGAAGGCGATGCACGGGATCAGCCCTGAGGCCATACACCGCTAGGTTCGCCCCTGTTTCGGCCCACCCTGAAAAGGGCAGGTCCTTCTGCGGGTTGGAGGTACGTCTCAGAGACATTCCAGACGCACCCCCCAGACGAGGCAGATACGTGCAATGCACGACTAGCGCGCAAACCAGTCAAGCTGCCCCCGACTGGAGATCGAAGATGCGCAACTGTGCAATCTCGAGTCCCCTACCCATCTGTTTGGGAGGATCCACACAGGCAGAACCCTTATCGTGGATCCTCCCCCTCGAAATGTATGTAAGGATCTTACATTGTGGCATTCGGTCCTGTCTGCCTTCCCCGCATGGGATACGGCGTGCAGATATAGATAACATACAAAGAACTAATCCAGCAGTCTCAAAAAGTAATACGTTTTTTCAAGAAAACGATTAAGCTACTTACCTTTCATACAGATATCGGTCGGGTATTATTTATTCTACGTTCATTTCGCGTTTTCAATAAAGAGTGTAATCTTGAAATATCGAGTGATATTCTAAGGATGGTATCAAAGGAAATTATTTAAGGGTAAGATGGACGCCGTATTTTATATATTTTCAAAAATCAATTGTAGTACAGATAAATAAATTACGTTATTTTAGTTATAACAGTTAGCACGCTCGATCTGCGGTACGATTGTAAGCAATTTTACCAATTTGACCGGCGAAGGCCGGTCATAGGATGGGTGACCAAAAATTTATAATTTCGACCACCTCCGTACTTCGGAAGGCACGTTTAGCCGTTGGTCCCGTCTGCATCTGCAGTCGTTAACACTCACCAATCCGCACTGAGCCCAATACACAGTTTTAATTCTGTTTCATCCATAGGGAAGGCCCGAGCCGTTTGGTCTGGGTAACCTGGGTTCTCCTTGCCAGATACCAGGTCCCAGACCCTTGTGAGGGTAATACGGGGGGTTTTGCACGGTAGGCCTGCTGTAGATAGGGGTTCTTTAACCTTCGCAGCAGGAGAGCCCGGGTTCAGTCGGCCTCTCATCAAGGTCGATGGCATGTTAAGGTCAGTTCCCCTCGGTACAAAAAAAAGAAAAAAAAGGCCCGAGCCCCTGCAGTGGTGACATTAATATGAAGCCATTATTAAGGCTGATGATAATGAAATGCAAGCATTGTATTATTTGTGTATATCTGCGGCATTGTGTAAAAATTGCGGGGACTCAAAACACAATTTTAGAATTCCGATACAAATTACATCAACTTATTTGTTGCGGAAGACAACATCTCGCAAAAGATACGAAGTGAAAGTAGATACAGATAGACAGAATAGGTATGATTTTTTGTCTGTCCGTTAAGTAGGTTATTGAAGAATTTGGAACACGTATTTTTTTTTGCGCATTGAATATATGGCGGCGATATTAAATTGAAATGTCACATAACATCACATCTTTGTACATTTTCTACATAATTGTGACGTAATGAACTTTCACTC